TAATACTGGCATTCATTTACTCTATAATCGTTTCAGAAATATTGAACTCTGTTATGTTACAATAATCAATATTAAGCACTGAAAAGCTAAGGTATTGAAAGTTTTGACAATCAAGAATCTAAACACAAATTTAGCAGGCAAAAGTAACATCCAATATTTGAAAAGTGGATGTATCAGTCACAAGGATGCTAAAAAGAGAGCAGAGGTCATGTTTGACATAGTCCTGAATGCTGAACGAATTTATCTTACCTTGCATCTCTTGCAGAGATTTTTCTGGGGGGCACTTTACATTTCAAATGAAAGAAACCTTGGAGTAATTTAATACAACTTTTAATCAATGGCTGTAAGTTAAACAGATTCCAGTTCTCTCGTCAGTTTGAATATTTAGGCAGTTTTACCAAGACTGTCTTTGAAAAAATCCTTGGGCTAGTTGAACCCCTTCCTGTGTTTTTAGGGATACTTACATCTTGCGTGGTTTTGTATTTTAGAGCTGAAATGCCTGAGACCAACAAGAAATTTTTCCCCTCATCAGCTCTACAGCCAGTTGTCAAAGACGTGGTGAAGTCGGAAAGCAGGAACAGGGCAAACGGACAGAATCCTTCCGAGTGGCTTCACCCGGACAGGCTTGAGAAGGTGAACGTGGCAGTGTTCTGTCCTGATGGCATATCCCACCCCTTCCCCGAGAATGCCTGTGGCAGGAAGCTGCTCCACAGTGACTTTGTGCCCTCCGCCCAGCCGCAGTCTCATCACACAAGAACGCTTGGTCCCAAGGTGGGCTTGGCGCCCTGTGTGCCACAGTCCCTGCCGGAGAGGGCCGTGGTGCTTCCCGCCCCTCCCGCTGAGCACGCCGGGCACCCGCTGCGGAGGGGGGATGCCCTTTGGGTGCCTGAAGCAGTGTACCAGAACGTCCCTCCCCCTCTGCCGCCCAAGAAATACGCTCTGAATACTTTGCCGGGATCAGAGGGTAACTTGGCAGCGGAGGTAAAACCCACGGAAGCGTTGCAAAGTAATCCACTGAGGCCAGCAGGTGCACCTCCAAAACCTGCACCAGAACCCAGTGTACTCCCACCAGAACAAAGGCTGAAGGAGCCCTTTCCGGGGAATGAACTGTTTGTCCACAAACCGGACTCTCCACCTCGCTTGTCAGTCAATGACTTCTGGACTGTGTCTGAGAACTTGTTAAAGAAAGGATCCCGTCACACGGGGCCGAGTCCTGGCTATGTGGACGGGAACGACAGCGTGTCCCTCACGACCTACTTCTCAGTCGACAGCTGCATGACTGACACCTACAGGATGAAGTACCACCAGAGGCCCAAGCTGTACTTCACGGAGAGTGGGAGCTTTCCCAAGGAGAAGCATCCTCCAGCAGCTGGGGTCGAACTGAACGCTACATACCACACCACCCTGGAACCCAGGCATCCCGCGCCCGAGCCGAGGTACAAGGCAAATGCAGAAGGCATCCACTGCAGCCGATAGATCCATAAAAAAACCCCACACCCGGCTCTGACTTTTGCATTTCATGTAGTCTGTGAATGGGCACAAACCTTGAATGTGTGTGTGTGTGTGACAACCAGGTACCCAGCTGACCGTACTTTGCGTGGGAGTTACGACTGTTCAAATGAATATGCAAATTGGAGGCCAACGGAGGAGAAGAGGTGCTAACTTGTGGTTCTTTGATTTGTTACTCTAGTTGCCTTAATGCTTACCTCTGTTACTCAGCTTGTCTTCTACAGTTTGTACTACACATGGTCTGTGCACATCTTACAGCAGTGGGATCGACTGGACGTTACTAAATCTGTAAGAAGATTTAATTAGTTGCAGTTTAAGAAGTGCTCCTTCAGACTGTGGTCACTACCTACTTAGACTAACAAAAGGGATAAATGTACTACCACATAAATTGCAGTAAATGTAGTAATAATAGAGCATTATTTGTCCTGAGAGGTGGCAGGAGATGACACGGTTTTTTCAACTGACTTCTCCGAGAGTCTGTGCTTTCACAAACCTTCAAGTGTCTTTAATACAAGTTTACCCAGAGGATTTATTTTTTATTTGAAAAGCCTTAATAATAATAATAATCCTTTAAAAACCGTCCTGGTTTGCAAATGCTAAATGAGACTTTCAAAGGGAATTGAAGTAAACTGCAGTAATACTATCCTATTAATACACCTGCTCCATGTTAGTGTATGTTTTTAAACACATTTATCAAATTTTGTTCACCCTATAAGCTATATACTTTAACTTATTAAATTTAATGACATCAGTTACAAACTGGTATAAGAGAATAGGATGCTAATTTTAAATACAGAGTTATCATGCAACTATGAAAGATTAGTTTTCTAAGGTTTTAGATAGAGTTACTGCTTCTGTTCAGTTCTGATTTATCCTCCAAGTGCATGCAAAGTTATTGCTGCTATTTATTAAGCTTCCCTTTTTTTTCCAACTTGACATTTTGAGCATTGGTTCATGGGGATCACACATTTGATTTTTTTTTAATTAATTTTTTTTTTACTGCTGTGTTTCCCCCTCTGGAACCGCCCTACACACGGGCATGGTCTGCATTAGCAGATCGGGCTGAACACGCAGCCGTTCAGACTCTGGTGGCTGAGGGGCAGGGAAAGAAGAGGTTCCCCCTTCTCTGCTCTGTCACTGCCCACAGTTTTGGCAGCTCTGGCATTTACCTTGTCTTTTGTTAACCTGACTTAGTAGCAAAGAGGAGGATTTATTTGGCTTTTATTTGGTTAGTTAAATCAGTGCACAGAACTGTCTAGCGTGTGCTGAGGCAGTGGCAGCAAAGCCTGACACGATCCAAAAAGGCTAAATCTTTCCATTACTCACATTAGAGTGTTAACTTGGGGTGCTGCTGATTACACCTAAATCATCAATGCCTTTTAGTTATAAAAATAATGCAACAAGGTTAAAGATGCATAATAACCACTCTTGCTTATACTTGCACTGTTAGTCAGAAAGGCTTTTTTTTTTTATGTTTATAACTTTATGTACATGAATTTTAGTGCTCCAGCCAAACATTGGCAATTGTTTAGCACAATTATCCAAGGTAAACACTTAAACATTACTTTTGGTTATTCTGTGGCAAGGTCAGTTTTTTTCTTTTAAATTACATGCAACTTACAGTAGAACTGGAACATTATATATATGCAACAAACCAGGTATCTCAGATTAACCTTATTTCTACCTTCTTGATCAAAGTTAGTTGTAGCACTTGGAAAAAAAAAATGAATTCAAGGATTTATAGTGAAAATACTATGCATGTTTAGGTATGGCTGCTGGTAAACAGCAACTTAAAAAATGATCCTTTTGTAAGAAAATCAGTTGAATACAGAAGAACACTAAAAATGTAAGAACGTGGGTGATTCCTATTGTAATATTTTTGAGAGAGATTTCAGAACCTGTAAATTAAACTTTTCTAGTTCATCTAGCCATGTTACATAATATACATAGCCAGTTAAGTACAGCTGTCTTCTAATACCTGTGTAAAAAAAAACCCCAAGATTTATGGAATTTGTAAATAATGTACAATTTGTAAAATGTTTTGCAAAAAAAAAAAAAATAATCTTGTATTTGAAATGACAGTATTTTTATGTATGAATAGCACAGCAACAACTGTGAATGGTGTTAGAACACATGTATTTTTAAACATGCATAGCAACATTGCTACTTCTGTCCCAGGAGCAACATGAATGCCTCTTACTGATACCAATGAACTCGGCTCCCAGGAAGCACAACTGGTAAACTCATTTCTGAAGTAGCTGCAGTGATTTAGATGTTCTTCAGTCTCCTTGCTTGGCTTGAAACAATCTCACCAGACAACTCTCTCTGTGCCCCATGTTTACCAGGTATTTAATTATCCTCCCTAGACAGCTAATCGAGGCACCTTTGTTTTTATATTTGACTCTGCACTCCCTGTATGTATGTATGTAATATTTGCTAACTAATATGTGATAACTCGTTTTAACTTACCTAGGGTGCCTATTTATTTTTTTATAAATGTCCCCTCCCGGCTATAGATTTGTATAAGAGCCTAGACAATTTTTGTAACAGTAAAGATATTAACAAGTCTTGTAATTAATATATATTTTTCAGTCTTTAGAGTTATTTTCTTGCGAAGTTCTGCTCGTTCAAAATATCAAGATAAAAATTTAAAATCTCTGGTGTCTGTTCTTTTTTTACTTCACATTTAAAAAAAAAAAGTTGGCTTTCCAGAACTGCATTTTTGAAGTTAACGCTGCTATTGATGGTTGAAAGTTTTTGCAGAGATGGTGGTTCAGTTCCCTTTTCTGAACAGTAAAATTTGAAGTATTTGTTTATAAAGCTGTTCAATAGATTAAACTTTTTTATACTCATGAAATGCATAAAGCGATTTCAATACCATAATCCCTCCTATCTGGTGACAAATGACTGATTTAGTTACACAAGCTCTCTTTTCACCTTTATTAGAGATAAGCAAATTTTCCTGGATATATGTATTCCTGAACTCCAGGTGCTGTGAAAGAGCTTGAGCCCAGTGCAGCACAAGCCTGCACTTTGTTAGCTCTTAAGTTTTCTGAGATAAGTAAAACCTTGGATGCCAGATCTGCCTGAAGGAGAAAACTAAATCACTAGAAGATACCTTGAAATTTCACTTTCTAAAGGCTATAAAGCTGAATATCACCTGTCTTCCTTAACAAAAGAGAAATGGAGCAACACTGCAGTGCTTAATAGGTTGTTCCCTTGAGATTTCCCTGGTGAAATCATGCCAGAGGGGAAAAAAATAAAATATAATAATAATGAAAAAAGAGTAGGGTTCCAGTTTTTAGAGAATTTCACTAATTTTTTTACTTGTGAGAATGGAATCACACTTCAATGCTCTTCTGCACCCTGAGTCAAGATCTCTGAAAGCCCTGACTGATTTCATAGGTAGCAGCAGCCAAAATCATAAGTGTCAGCAGGGAAGGGCATCTCCATTCTTACAGCATAGGTCTGACACATAAAACAAGCCCCTCTCACTGGCAGATTTATCTTTAATAATGAAAGAAAAATAAAGGGAAAGAGCACGTGCCCACTTTTTGCATCTCAGATCCCAGTATAGCGGCCCATTTTCATTTAATGTGTTAGGAAACATCAAAACACTTTACACTTCAAAGTCTCTGCAATCTAGTTATTATATTTATTCATGAAAAAAAAACCCAAACCAACTATGAACTGTGCTTCTCAGAATTAGAAACTAGCATTCTCAAGGGAAAAATACTAAAGAAAACTGAGCCCCCTTCATCCGTAGTTGGTAGACTGTCTTCTCCAAAACCTGACTGGATACAAAGCTTACTATAAATATACATATATATATATATAAATACTGACCCTGAGGAGGCTCAGTAACTGCTGAAGGTAGAGAAGAAAGAAAGGTGTAAATAGAAACCCAAACAGCACCAAAGCCTCGCACTTAACTTTTTGGAAGTAAAACAGCTGGTTAAGCTTCACCTGTTGTGGGAATAGGTCTGAGTTACAATTTGAGTCTAGGCAAGAGCAGGGTTTTATTCTCGGCCACTCTGCAGAGTGTCCTTTCAGTGGGTTTTATTCAAGCAGTGCTTTCTTCCCTTTCTGCTGCACAAACCTTCAGGCACTGATTACACAAGCCCAGTCCATCCATCTTACACAACCTTTAAGGCACAGTTTAGAGCACAGAAACAGGACACAGAAACAGGTAAAAACCTGTAGCGGTAATATTGTGACACAGACAGAGATATATTATGGTATTACTATAAATATCTGCCTCTTGCATCCAGCTGCAAGTGGAGCCGTGTTCCCAGCTGCTTATCCCGCACAAATGGTCCTCCTCCTCCACTGTTCGTGTTTACGAGGTGCATCCCACGGCGACACAGCGACTCTGCGGGAAACAGAAAAGGCCTGGTTATTTTTGCAGTGCTTTTGTGCGTTTGGTTTGAATTCATTTGCCAGTTCCTGAGAAGCGTTTGTGCTTCCCAGGCCTTCTGTGGGACTTTCCGGGGCAGGAACGCCGCGGCTGCTCCCAGGGGCCTTCCCTCCGCGGGCACAGCCCGTCAGAGCTCTCCTCTCCCTCCTGTTATCCCCCGGCCACCCCCGGGGGACCCCCCTCACCTGGGCCCGCGCCCTCAGGGCAGCAAGTAGATGACGACGAAGAGCGCCAGGTCGAAGAGGACGACGAGAGGCGCCACAGTTTCCAGCCAGTAGGGACCTGTTCCCGACATGACAGCGATCGGCCAGCGGCTTGGCCGCCATTTCCCCTGCTCCAGCCGCCCACTTCCGCTTCCTGCCGCCGCTCCTGCGGCCGCCGCGCCACCGCCTCCATCTCCTCAGGGCTCTCCCGGCAGGCCCAGCCGCGCAAGGCGGCCACCGGCTCTTTCGGGTTCCGGGCCCAATGAGGAGCGGAGCGACGTACCGCGGCACGCCTCGCGGACCCAGCGCTCGGCGGCACAGCCCTTCCGCGTTACCACGTGGCAGGCCACCTTCCCGCATCAGGGGGCGGCACCGCCCGTCCCGCCTCCACGTACCGCCCGTCCAGCCTCACGTACCGCCCACGTCCCGCCTCAACACCGCCCGTCCCGCTCACGTACCGGCCGTCCCGCTCAAACACCGCCCTTCCCGCCTCACGTTCCCCGCCCATTCCGCCTCAACAACCCGCCCTTCCATCTCAAGGCACCGCCCCTCCCGCCTCAGGTTACCGCCTCAGGTACCGCCCCGCCCTTTCATCTGCATTCAGGGTCCTCCCGCCCCTCCACGCCTCAGGCACAACCTCCGCCTCGGGGACGGCCCCGCCTCTTCCCGCTCTTCCCGCCTCAGGCATACCCCTTCTCACCTCTCCCGCCTCAGAGATCGCACTTCCCGCCTCAGGCACGGCTCTTCCCGCCTCAGGCACGGCTCTTTACCGCCCTCAGGCACACACCTTTCCACCTCTCCCGCCTCAGGGACCGACCTTCCCGCCTCTCCCGCCTCAGGCACGGCTCTTCCCGCCTCAGGCACTGCCCTGTCCCTCCCGTCCCACACACCATCCCGCCCTTCATCTTCTGAGGTACCGCCCTGCCCCTCACGCCTCAGGGACCGCTCTTCCCGCCTCAGGGACCGCTCTTCCCGCCTCAGGGATCGCCCCTCCCTCCTCAGACACCGCCCTTCCCGCCTCAGGGGAGCCCGCCCGGTGAGACGCGGGTGTGGGGAAGAGCAGGTTGCCAGTCCTGTTAAACCGTGTTGGTCTTGTCCTGTCGGATGTACTCGGACTTGTGCGGGAGTAAATATCCACAAGTTAATCCCGGTACGGTTTATTGGTGAGCAGATGATGCCCTGAAAGAAACCAAGAGATCATGTGGGAAATCCTGTTGTGAAGAAGTCTGGGAAAACTGAAGTTGTTTTAAGATTCACTCTTCTCCTTGAAGGTTAGTTGGTGTTTGTACACGAAACAAACATGGGAAAGTTCATGTAGAGGGTGTATTCTGTGTCCTTTGTTTATGCAATACACAGCTACAGAAGAAATTAAATGGAGCAGCACAACCTGATGCCACACTCACTGTCAGGATGTGCCACCCTCAGTCCCAGCCAGTTCCCTTCATATTGAAAGCAGGGCAATTATTTTCATCATGTCCAGAAGAGTGACCAGAAACCTAGGAATATGCTAAACAAAAACTTCTTCTTTGTAGCTATTAACCCTTTTTAGCCTCATATTAAGAGACAAGGCGATGCTTGCTGAAGAATGCAGAGCAGGTGTATCTGAACAGAGCTCACTTCTCAACATGCCCTTCGGGATAGTTATTTTCCTTCATAAGTTCTGTCAGTAGAAATAAGGATTAATGTGGTTTTATATAGCAAATATTGGTTAAGCATGTGTGTGTTAGGTGAAGTATATTAGAGATTTTGGGGCGAAACAATGACAATACTTCCCCTTTCAGCCTTGTACCCCTCTGTGTTACCTCGCTAGAGCAAAAGGAGCTGTGGTTTGTGGGTTTACTGCCTGTATCAGGAGAGCCTTTTTGGCAGAAGAGGGAGCTGTGAGACGCTGAAGACATCATATTTTACTCCACGTTTATACTTACATAGAACAGTCTCGGAGCCTTGGGTGTTGTCAGGTTTATTTTAGGTTTTGCCATCCTTATTACACAACATCCAATACACAGAGAAACCGTTTCTCAGTATAAATACTGAGGAAGGTTAGTAAGGAAACTAACTTGCCATTTGATAACCTGTGCAAAGATATTTAAGTTTTGCTTATGCAAAATAGTTTCTGCAGCCCTTTATCTTATGGCACTCAGATAGGACTTGGGAAAGACATTTTAGCATATGGTAATTGGATTATTTTTTTTTTTATTCAAGGCAAAACAGTAACATAAGGAACTAGCCTGCATTTTCATCAGGGCTAGGTAATTGCAGCTTAGGAGGTGCTGTGAGGGGATAAAATAGAAAAAAACCCAGCAGAGGATGTGTAGAAAATGGTCTTCTTTCATTGCTCCTTCATTCTGGTGCTGTTCTGGGTGAAGTGCTCAGCCCCTTTTGAAGATTCTCTTGGATTCAACTCCTTCATATATATAGGTCTGTTAAGAAATGAAGAAGAAAAATCAGTGGCTGGTATTGCAAAGTTCCCTTTCACAGATGCTGTTGAGAAGGGGTCAGTAATGAAGGAATGAATTGTGAGGGGTGGCTGTGCAGGCTCTGGGGAGAGGAACATAAGGAAAGCAGCCTATTGTCAACAGGCATAAATTCTCTGTGCAAATGTTTGAGCCACCACAGGGCAGCTTTTGGGGTCTCAGGAAAAACTCAAAGGACACTTGGAAAAGCCACAACACATTTATACAGTGTATATTTACTTATCTGTCTGTCTCCTGTACAGAACTTGTATACAGGCTTCAGAATGCATGGGTAAGATACAGTTCACATGTGGAGGAAAACATAAAAATCACAGGTTGTGAGTTTTATTTAAAAGTGTTAAATTTTGGTAGGTGACTGGAGGATTGTAACTAAAGATAAATGAAGTTATTTGGCTTTGATGAAATATTGCTACTTTCAGAACAGCTTTTAAATTTTTTTCACTTCATTCTATTGTAAAGTTGTGTAAGTAACTGCTTAACTCACCTGAACAAGTTCATCACCTACAATTTCTCTGTATGCTTTGAGTACTTTTCCATTGTCTTTTCTGGTAAATGTGCCCACAAGTTTATTTCCTTCCAGGTTCCAATTTCCCTGTAATGGGAAAAAAACCCCAAATATTTTGCAACAGTTCTGACACTGATTTGATTTAAAGGCTGCAGAATGCTTTCAAAGATAAAATTAAAACAGTGTAACAATGCTTTTATAGAAAGGCTGTAAAAATGAAAGTTTAATAAAACCATTAGTTCATTTAATTGCATAATAGTCAAGCTAGATACTTTTTAGTGGCCAGTACACCTTATTTTAATTAATTGTATCAACAAAGGTAGTTTCCTATAAATACCCACTCTGTACTCTAGGTGGTGGACTTGAGTATTGGAATAAGTGAAATTACAATCACCTGGATTTCATCGTATGAAAATTGCCACTTGCTCCACGTTTTTGGGCTCTCTATGGAACCCTGAGTCCCACAGGTGAACCATTACAAGTTAAGGCTACCTTGTGCTTTTGTATATAAGCTGCAAGCATTCCTGAACAATCACTCTTGCAAAGCAAAATTTAAATTTAACACTAGGAAGACAACTAATTTATCTCGAAACTGTACTTTATGAAGATAGTATCATATAAAAAATACGAAGTTGTACAGAAGACCCTTACGATCATTTCGGTGCCATCAGCCAGGCTGTAGTCAAAATTGGCTCCCAGGGTGAATTCCAGCTCTATGGTACGGAAGTTACTGGCTTCTTTGACAGTAAATTTGTTCCCATCTTGCTCGATAGTGATCTTCAGATTGTCATGAGCCCCCAGCTTTCTCTTCATCAAGTTAACACCTGGCAAAATCAATTAACATCCATCGGAAAAGAAACACCCAAACCCCTTGAGGATCATATTTATCTCTTTTTAGTGACTTTCACGTGGTCCAAGAGAGTTTATTCCAGCATTCTGACCCAATTTTTTGTTCTTTTTCTCTTTTTATTGAGGCCATGTTCACCAGTACACATATAATACAAACCACTGTCTAACTCGGGTGGTTATGTTTATATCCATATAATGCACAGTCTGTGCAAACTTAAAGTGAGTATCAGGATGTTAGAATTACTTGAGTTGTGTTTCTATAAAATTGAAGAATGATGATTTCCTCCCTGGGTAATTTTTCAACTAGTTTAATGTTATCAAAATAATATTCTTGCTATAGAATTCTCCTTATAGTTAATAATGCAAATTCTCTGAGCCTTTTCCTCAAATGTGGACTTAGGGATGCTTTTTTTCTGCTGAAACAAAGCTGGAATTAGTTGAAGTGCTCAAGATTAATATAACATAATCAGAACATTTCTCAGCACCTTTTATCCTCCCCCCACCATGAAATATTTTGAAAGTCAATGCAGCACACTGTGCAAGGGCAGAGCAAATAGTGAGAGGACAGGCTGTCCCAAAGGTAGTTCAGGGGCAGCTGGAGTTTGTATTCAGCTGGAGTGGCATTTTTCCTGCAGAAGGCATTGGAAAGGTGAGACTCACCCAGCGCCTCCATGAACTTCTCATAGTTTTCACTTCTGTCTATTTTCCAAGTGCCGTTGAAGGCCATGGCCGGGTCTGTAGCAGCTGCTCTGAGGTGATGTGTCTTTGCCAAGGGAATTTATGTGCTGCCTTATCTGGAGAGCAATTTACAGGATGATGTGGCTGACTAAAGCTCAACTGATGCACTGATCTTCGCAAGGAGAACTTTAGTTTAATCAAATTTCCAGTCCCGACAACACTGCTTGCTGAATCTCTCCCTTATTGCCCCCAGATCATGACAGTATCTTTATTGCTCATCTTAATAAAAAATTGCTAATCCGTTCATTCTATCCACCATGCATAGTAAAAATCAGATATCTAGTGAAAGCAGTAATTAAAATAAGAGCATTTCTTGATATTTTCTATCTCTATTGTATCTTCATGCTTTTGTGAGAGCCTTTATGCAAGTGGAGAAAATATTATTTACCCGACAAACCAAACACAAATGTCTACTTTGTCCATTAGAATTTGGTAAATGTCTGTTCTACTCAACATCATAAGCAAAGGGCAGATGATTCACTGAATGTCTGCAGTTGTTTCAAAAAACAGTCCTCTTGTTTCCTATCTAATGCTGAGCTATGAAAATTGGGATGATGTTCTGTATTCACGTGCTCACTCTTTAACATGCAGTTTAAATTCTGAGCAGCTTCTACAAATTTTCTTCACTACAACACATCAGTGTGTATCTGACACATTCCTAGAGGTGCAGCTGAGTGAATTTACCTGATGTGGTTGGTTTCTCTAATTCCATAATTTTGCCTGTTCAAGGAGAATGCAGAACATGAGTCTTTCCTGACTTAGCTGCTTCTTCGCCCGCTCCCCTTCCCCTCTGATTGGTGCTACTGCAAACTGAGCAAAACTATTGCCCCAGCTTTTGCCTTTGCCCAGTTAAGGGTTATAGTTATTCTGTTCCCAGGGATGCCATCAGCTTTGTTCTGTGTTACCTTCAAAATGTAAATGTAAATCCCAGTTGGTCAACGTGCATTTAACAACAGCAGTTAGGTCTCAGGATGTGGTTTTTACATTTACTTTCTTTCCACGATTTCTTGCAGTTTTCTACCACCTGAATAACTCTGTGTCTCAAAAAATGTCATAGCCCATGCCCAGACCTGAGCTAATCACAGATGTCCATCTTACCCTTCAGCCAGCTCAGGAAATGGGCGGACTGAGTTCCTACTTAGAGCTAAATTGTCTTTTTGTTGCATTGGCTCGTGTCTTGACCTTTGTAGTTATCACTGTCAGTCTGTGTTATCTGTTGAGTATCTATACATAAACAAAAACACCTGGTGTCTAGTTATAGTTCATCCAATTTATTGTTACATAACAGAATCGGTAACTCTCTTTAGTCTTTGCAGAGGTTCTCTCTGATGGTGATGTGCTGCAGCTTCTGCTGTATCCAGTAGAAAACTGAGGCCTGAAATAATGTGAATTACTCACATCATTTGAGGCATCTGTATCTGTAAAATCTAACAAGTATTTATTTTGAGCATTTCAAGAAAGCTGTTTTTAGGTGTGTCCTGCATTCTCCCCGAGAACCTGCTCTTTCATTTAATTTAAGAAATTCTAAGGTATCTGAAGTTAGTGTTTATATATTTAAACAAGGTTAATGCTACCAATTAATTTCCACATTTGATTCCAGCCTGTCTGCTTAACCTCTGAAAAGGTAACTCAGAGTAGTGACATTCTGCAGGTTAAGTGTAATTTCTACACCAAACTTACTCCAGCAGCTTTTCTGAACCTTAAAAAGGAGGGAGTTGGCTGTGGAGCAAGTCTTCAACTACCAGGAAGATTCTCAGATGTGCTTTTCCAATCCGTTATCTGACAATTTGTTGTGTCCCCCCTTGTGATTCTTTAGTGTCTCTCAGAAGTCAGGCCAACTCCAAACCTTTTCACCGTGGGAGCAGCAAGTAGCTGGGTCCTAAATTTCCCATCTAAGCTTGTTGTTCCATTCCTGTCCCAATTTCCCCTTCCTTGACATTTTTTTCACTGGGCATGAGTCCCTCGGGTCCTGTTCAGATCAGCCCCACAGATCTGTCAGTTAAGTAAGAACCACAGGTGGTCAATATTTATGAGCTTGATGGTTGGTGTAGTGCTGACAGCACAAAGAACTGTTTTTCTCTGAGGTCTGGTGGAATGTCACTGCTACAACAAGGGACTGTCTTTAATCTCTCACAATTTACATGAGTTACTTAGGACTGTTAATGCACTAAAATATGCAAAATCTGACTTCATTTTTTTTTACATGTACTGGAATCGTATGATATATACTTCACTCAGACTACTTTTGTGTTCCTATAATAGCTGGTTTTCCCTTTATAGTGTTTCTATGAATTTTTTTTTTTAATCTGAATATTCCACAACCCTTTTCCTTCTTCTCTCTACCTCTTCCTTGTGTGATTTTTCAGAACTACAAGTTTTACTTAGATGGTGTCTTGAAATCTTTATTTTTTAGTGTTACTGGGTCCAGGAAAGTCTTGAAAGCTAAGGGTCTATTCTTGGCTTTGTGGCTTTCTGCAGCGTGCCAGCTTCAGAACACTGAAAATGGGCAAACATTAACTTTGAAGTTTGATCTTTAAGTGATGTGGATGGGAATAAATTATTAACTTAAATGGTCGTGCCAATCTCATCATGCCGATCTGTGACTATCACAGCAAGCTGTATTGTGATGGTAATTAACAATGAGGTTCCAAAGATCAGGGTGACAAAAAGGCTTTTGCAGTGGGTTGTGCTTATCTATCCTCTTTGTTGTTTAGTGGTTTGCACTGGAGTTGTTCCTGCCTGAAATTAGCTGGGACAATAGAATTCAGCTTTACCATGGAGTGATTAAGGCTTGATGCCAGCCTAAACATAATATGCGTCTGAAAATATTAGTATATACAGTGTTATGTAATGAAAGAGAGATTAATCCCTGGTAAAACTATGCAGATTGCTTTGGCAGTATTTCTGTGTGTTTTCTACTGTCAGTATGTCTTGGGATGGATTGCAAAGATGGCTGGGCACTTAAATCATTTAAGTACCCCTGGCTCCCTTATTGTGAAGTTTTACTAAGAGTTTTAAAAACCACAATACTCCATTTTATATCAATATGGTAAACAGATAATTCCATGCCAGCAAAGGCAACTTCAGCATAACTCTGGGTGGCCTGGCAACGGGGAGCTTGGTGGAGCCTAACTAATGCCATCTCTTGGATACATCATTTCAAAGTACATGTTGTGGTTGAGTCTTGTACTGCAGCAGGATTGGATTGGTTTGGATAGATATTGTCCTGCTCCAGCTGCCTGTTTGCTAAATTTCTGGGTTTGTTTTGGCTCAAGGAGAATCTCATGGATGCTGCTACCATGCAATCTGTTCAGCACGAGGATTCAACATTGGAAGATTACTTAGAAATTTCCAGTGAGTACGGATCCATTTGTCTGATTAGTTAGTGCTGAGTCTTAAAACTTACTCTCAAGTGACTGTATGGACCCCTTCTTCCTTTCTGTGTAATGGCTCTGATCCATGAAAGGGCTGCATGGTTTTGAGAGCTGCTTATTGAGAGAACTGAAGTGCATCAGCTAATAAGCTCCAGGTTAAAAAAAATCTAGAAGCAAAATTTAGGATTTTCTTAAAGCAGTAACAACCCTGGTATTTACTTCATCCCGTTACTGCTTGTTAAAATGAATCCTAGGATTGCCTAAAATAGTAGAATCTGGTCTTGTTTCAGTGCAAAGAGGGTGACAGTGAACAATGGCCAATAAAAATAAGTGTGCTTCTCTAGGAAAGGTTATATGAATCTCTGAGCATTAGTGCCATTTGTCACTTGCCACATAGAGACTGATATGCCAGTTGTCCCCCAGGCTTTGTGTCAGGCTTATCTAGGGTATTGAAATCTATACCTGAATACTCTTTTCCTGTATTCTCCAGTTTCTTTTTTGTTCAGAATGTGGAATGTGATCAAAGGGTGGGAGTGAGTTATAGTCCAATGAACTAACAACGTGTACAGTACTGGAGGTCTGCATCAGTCATTTCAGTTTCTCCAAAATCTGAACTGCACTTTTAGCTCGTTTCAACATAGCTTTTTTGCTTATTGTACACTTTTGCTCTTGGTTATGATATAGCTCCAAACTCCACCAGAGATTATTGTGATTATCTGGATTAGTGACTTGAATCTGATCTTACCTGAAAAAAAACAGTGAGTTTCAGAGTTCTTCTGAGCTCAGCATAAAAGCAAGAGAGCACCCTATATGGCTCAGATATTTAAATATTTGTGTATGCAAAAGGAAAAGATGGTTTCTGATAAAACATGCTTTTCTTCGTGTCTCACATTAGAGCAGAACAGACATTCATATCTTGGTTCTCTTTCCAGCACAGAAATGGACTTTCTATGTGACCTTGATCAAATTCCCCCCCTACTTATCTGTAAAATGTACTTTCCTTCCATTAAGCAGCTGTATATACCATAAAATAAATTGCCAGTGACTTGATTAACTAGTACAGTGAAAGGATTCTGAATGCCTATACGTGAATGTATCATGTAAACTAGTGGTATGATTTAACCATGGGCTTTACTTTTTTTGGTGCTGTTAAACAAAAGAAACCCCTGTATAGGTTTTCAGCCATTACAAAGCACTGGGTGGGCAGGAGCAGGCTATGGCCTAAAAATTATTTCCTAAAAATCCTAAAGGGTGGGATTTCATAGGAATCTGAAATGCATGTCAGCAACAGCTGTCACCACTCTTACTAAAATTATGGCTGGAGGAAAGAGCCATTGTCTTTTTACATTTGTTAAAAAGGCATCACTGTTGTGCAAGATCTGAAAGACCGAGTGTAAAATTCTTTCACGTCTTCACTAAAAATGCCCTTGTTCAAGGTTAGATTCTGGGTAGGAAATGTATTCCAGTACCCACTCCTGAAAACCATGCCTCTGCTCAGAGGTGAATTCAAACATTCAGCAGGCCAGGAGGACTGAGCAGGAGCACGACTAGGTTGGGAGGGGGCTGGAAAGGCTGCAGTCCCAGCAGCAAATGGATGCCTGATGTATGGAGATATACATAGGCAGTTGTGCAGTTGCACTCATAAATTGCAGTTGGTTCGAGCAAACAGTGCTTGTGTTTTGTGCTCAACTAAATCTGGCCCTTCATAAGTTTTTCAATGAGCCTGCTGTTTGTCAGGGATGGACATACTTCTTGGTTTTGCCTGGAGCTAAAAAAAGTTAAGCCAGAAGTGTTGCTGTGCAGGACCTAATAGGCAAAGAGCAGGAATTGCCAAGAAGCCCACTGGTCCAGAATTCCTTCTGGGATCAGCAGTTTGCACATGACGAGGCTTTTGCTGTCAAAAATAATTTTGTCACAGTTGGAAGTCACTAGGTTATTTCCATGCTATCCCAGGAACTGATAGCTGGGGGGGCAGAGGATGAGGATACATCTGTGTAACTGTTGCATTTGCTGGTTCTGCTTATCTAATAAATAAACTGGTTTCTGACAGCTCCCAGTAAGTGCAGCTCCAGTGCTCTCTAGTGGTTAGTAGCAGTTAATTATTTTTTGCTGGTTTTAAACCAGAACTACGTTACCACTGGCTGATCTCAGTGCTACTTAAAAGTATCTTGATATTAATAGTGACATTTTTCTCTTCAGGATTTCTAGGACCTAGAAAAGTTATTATAAAATATACGTTTACAAAAAGCAGTTATTCGAATCAGGAAACAATGAGATGTTGAAAATTCAACCTCAACAATATTAAGTAACAAACAGTAAAATTTGACATCATCCTTTTTATTTTAAAAAGCATGAAAACAGTACAAAGAGAAGAATGAGGAGATAACTAATAAGCAGCAGTCTGACCATAGAAAATATCCTGACTCTGTATTCTCTATCAGCTGTACAGTAAGTAGGGATAATGATTCTTTAAAGTAATGTAACCAGCTTTACTCTAAGAAGTCATAGGACAGAAGCAAGAAAGAACACATAGCATTCAGAAGACTTTAATACTGCTTACAGGCAAAACATAATATACAGAGAAACCCCTCAACCTAGTACAAAAATACTGTGCCCAGAAACTATATATTTGTTCAAACTTTTTTCAAAGATAAAAGAATACAAGTGGACACACTCAGTGATTGGTGACTGTGACTAAGATTTTTATTAAGCCATAATAGGAATGTATATTAAAACTATTTACAGTGCATTTCACACTACATTCTTTAAGAGACACATGCAGGTGTCCCCCATGTGAACACAGAGAGGGCTCAAATTCTAACTTCAGTTCCATCTGTAAGGTACCTCAGGCATCAGCAGGAAGAGCTGAACACAGCAAAGAGCAGGTGAGGCAGGTGTTGCCAAGGTAAGAGTTTGGTCCCTCCTTGAAGGTAAAAAAGGTGGATTTGACCATTCTTTCACTTTTTATACAGCTCAATCCAACTCCCACTGAGGTGAGTGGGAATCTGTATGACTGACTTTAAATAGGCATCAGAGCATGCTTTAGACCCTGGCATGACCAGCTCATGCTGTGAAAATAAGTGAAAACTGGCTATTCTACAGCACTGTCACATAAATACACATTTACAAACAGTGGTACTTAGATCTGAGTTTCTCTATGGAAACAAACGTCTTTATGTGGAAAATAAACTTTCCCATGCGACTTCCATTCATCTAGCAGTGACAAAGATCAAATATCCTGCTGGCACTATTTGCTGTATTTAACAAGTGTCACTAATCACCAGGCCAGATTCTGGGATGTTTCTTCTTCCTGTCAAAGTCCAAACTGAAAAATCCAGCTTTCATTATTTACCATACTCTGGCCAAACTCATTCTTTTATTCAAGCTCCAATGTTCAAGTTTATCTTTCAAATTAGTGCAAGTCCCTGAAGAAGTGCAGCAGGGAACTGTGAAATAAAGCTGAAACCTTGTGGAATGTAAACTGCACGTGATTTGACACGAAGAGAAAACCCCACAGCATCACAGAGACAAGACTCCAAACTAAAGCCAATATATATATTTGCCTGAAATACCAGATCTTTATAAAACCTTTAAAAACTGTATGAATTTAATATCAGTGAGGCTTCTTTTTTTCCATAAGAACTCTCTGCTGTCTTCCTATGGAGAACTGCAAGGGACACCAACCAGATAACTCAGGCAACATCCCCGAATTTTATGGGACTACATCTGACTCTTCATAAGTTTTCTGTGCAATGCATTGGAAAATTAGTTACCTGGGGATTTTGAGAAATCTTGTATATGAATTAGACAGAGTTCTGATTTTGTCAGTTCATGCCACTGCCAGGTAAAATGCTTTGGATTGGAGGTGAAAAGTTTATCTTTACACGAATGAGAGTGGTACATAAAATCAGGCTTCAGTCCTCTCTTCGAAGGAGAGATCAGCTGATCATCAGTGGAACAGGTTGTTTACTTTTCTCACTAGCTCACTTGAAGATAAGAGAGGAATCTGCTCTTAACTTTAAGCTGCTAATTAACAATTATCACCATCTCCAAAATCAACATCACATTATTTTCCTCCCCTTTCTTTAATTGTGTGAGATAATAGAAAACCTAGAAATGTTCCACAGCTAATATTGGATGTGGGACTAATTTATTGGAAAAGAAGTTCAACCTACAGCTTAAGAACCTCATTGTTATTTTTAATTAGAAGAGGTAGGGTTAATCAGTAATTTTTTGTGTGTTAATACATATGACAAGTAATTTTTTTGAGAAGGAGAACAAAAACAGAAAGAAAAGTGTACTTTAAGCATTAAACTGTGCTGTGGAGTGAGTCTAAAAGAAAATATGTCCATATCTGAGATCAAGTAGGATGCTAACTTAGATGCCTTCACTGGGACAAATTCTGTACCTGAAGATTGAAATATCAAATTTGACAATGGCTTTAATAAACTTTAGTCTGAACTGACCAAGGGAAAAACTCCACTCCAGCTGGTTTCTTGTGTAATCCCCCCTGGTTGTTTTAGCTAGACAGTATAAAGTGGGGAGAAAATGTTTGAGACCTGACTAAAATCACCAGAAACACAACTCATGATGAAATGCAGGGCAGCTTGTGGCTGTAATCCACTAGCTGGGTTTGAAAATGTTGAATTTTAAAGGCAGTGAACTCCAAGCAGGAAACAGGCTGGCTTTTTTTTTTCCCCCATATTGTCCCATATCTCCATTATGAAAGGAATTTCTGCAAATGCTTCACACAAAGCTGACACAGAGCCAGCACACTCTGCCTTCAGGCAGAATTAAACACTATTTAAAAACATTGATCATGCTCTGAAATTTCAGGAACTACAGCAGTCTATGCTTTTAAGGTTCTTAAACCAGTAGTTTAAAGGCTTTGGTTTTGTAGAAATACATACAGATACAGGTGTATTATGATAAATAAATGGTTTATTCACTAGGAACTGTATTTATACCTATGTTCCAATCTCTGTAGTGGAAGAGATTCCGTGGGATAAATGTGTACAGATATGTAATTAAATATATGCACATTCTCTATAACTGCTCATTGTAAGTGAACCTTTAAAAAATGTAATGTCATGCCCTTTTTTTCAAGTCAAAGGTATGAATCCATCCCTCTTCTGTAGCAGTTATAAATTTAGTTATAATAAAGCTTTGCTGGACACACAATATAGCAAAGAAATACTGGGATATTAATGTAAAAGATGCTCAGCCACTACACTGTAATATTATCATAGTTATCTGCTGTGTTGTCACCATGAATTACCAGTCTCAACCATTATAGCAAGAATACACCTTTATATACATATAATTTATTCATATTTATATTAAATAGGTATCTCATCAGTTAGTGTAATAATTATATTTCAGTATCTCAAGCACTCAAGGAGAAGACTATACAAGGACTATGCAAATCCTGAAGCAAAGCTTCCTATTTATCAAAAAGTACCTAAAAACTTTGGTTGGGGTGGGCAGGCTGCTGTCATTTGCATATAAATACACATATGGAGCACTGCATAACAGTAGTCCTGGAATTCTGAATTATTATTGAAATCCATACTTTTTTTTTTTTTTAATCTGTGTGAAGGAAGTCAGGAGAAATACTTTTCTAGAAAAATGTTTTCAAATTCAGCTGCAATAATACATTATTGGTGCTCTTTAGAGAAGTCTGAGATAGGATTTAATCAGTGACAAATAATTTAGGTTGGCAGAAATGCTGCTGACTGTCAGAATACCTTATTCTACATTAAAAAAAAAATTCAACTATGAAACTCGGTATCGTCAGACATTTTGAAACATTTGCTTTATATTTTCTTAGCTTCTGCTATAAATTATCTAAATGAAGAAACTGATAAAAAGGGGGAATTTTCACTTCTTTCTGACCAGCTCTTACAAGGGGAGGGGTTGATAACTCATTGCACTTTCCAACTAGAATGTTCTGGATTATTGTGATAGAGATAAATGCCCATACTTCAAAGTACAATCCTAAGTGTGTTACTTTTGCCCAACACAATTGCAGATTTTAACCAGAGAATCATTATTACACATTAAAAACCCACACTATTCTGTGTGTGTCTGTGCAGCCAAAGTTACAGGTACTGCTGATCCATTTTAGACTGCTGACATTCATCTCCTGATCCTGTCTACACGAGGAATAGTACCCTCTTTGTTTTACTCTTTTGGCATCTCTCTCATGTGCATATTTTCTTTAATTGGTCCCCAATTCACAACCATTTTTATTAATCATCTTCTTTTAAATAAAATACCAATGTTGGGGTTTTTGCTAGTGCAAGTTAATGGATTTCTTACTTTTCAGAACATTAATGCCTCATATACAAATGGCAAATCCCTGTAGCATTCTTGGCTATTTTTGCTTTTGGTACTCTTTTTTTTTCTAATTTTTTTAAGACGCTGTGATTAATCATTGTGAACTAATGCTAAAAATGATTTGTAAGAGATGTTAACATAAAACTTCCTTCCAAGTGGTCATAGCCATTTCATAGCAACACTGGCCTAAAGAATCAGTCATGGATAGTCACCAGGATTGTGCCATTCCTGCACCTTTCTGACTCAGATTGTCACCTCTCGCTCTTGCAGTCACGTTCTCTTCTGCCCGTGACCCCCTCTGTCGGTTGGATGATGTTAAAATCAACTTCCAAACGAAGTTAAAACCAGCAGATAAAAATGATCCTCTCCAGTTTCCATTTCTCTCTGTGCTTCTTGCAGCTTTCTATGGGAGCCATCCTTCCATCATCCTTCCGTGGCAGCCTGTCAGGTATGCTGGGACATTTCAGCAGTCTTCCAGCAGTTTCCATTATTCATGGATAATTGTGACACTTCCACCACAAAACTCCCAAGACCCTCATTGCCTAGTATTTCACAAGGGCCTTAAAAACTTCTTCAAATGTAGTAAGACATTTGCTCAGACATCCATTTGATATGAAAAAAAAAAAAATTGAACTACTGGGTGCATAAATTCTGGGGCTTTTCACCTCAGAGCCCAGTTCTGTCTTCTGAAGGAGGTCAGCATAGTATATGCTGGATTAGGCTCCCCAGAGCGAGTCCCAGTCTTCCCTCTGAGCCTCTGGGAAGAGAACAGGCGAGACTGCTCATGACTTTTATACCATAACACAGCAAGATTGGGAGGGGGAAGAGAAAAAGGTGCGAAATGCAGTAGTCTGTGAGATACTGGCCACAACATGATCACCAAACAACTATATACATCTGGAAAGTCAGAGGCTCTCGGGCACAGTCGAGTCACTGCACTAGTACCTTCTGCTGGAGCAGGGGGGCAAAAACCACCCTTGCAGGTCTTTTTCCATCTCAGTCAGATGTAACAAAAGACACATACTATCTCTTGGCATACACATGGTCATGCTATATCTTGGAACGTGGAAAGATAATACAGCAGTGGCAAAACATAAGCCAGATTCATACAGTGTTCAGCAAAATGCAGTACTCCCCTATTACTATGTCTTCTATGTGAGCTTAAGCTTGTGGTTGTTAAATCAGCATCTCAGTTCCGTTTGCCTTGATTGCTCTCTCCATTAATCAGGTTCTTCTCTTGCTGTTCAGCTAAGGCTTGCCATTTCTGCCTGTTCTTTTTACAGCCATCCAGTAAAGGGGAGCAGGCCTCTGACACATGTGTTAGGGCCTGAAATAGATTAAGAACACGTAAAACAGATTGCATTTAATTTTTAATTAAAGATGAAGAGAACGAAACACATTTCTCATATTTTTTCAGATTTCTGAACTCAGAGGATCGACCTGTAGATCATTCAGTTGAACTGCACCGGTTGCTCAGCTAACACAAGCCACAAAGCTTCAGTTCACTGGGATCTGACCTGCTCTGAATAACATGGTAAGTCACATTCTTGCAGTGCTGGATTGAGAACTCATTTCTGTTTGCACTGTGTGTCAAGTTCCTTCTGACTGGATGAAAGCTACGAAAGCAGTGAAAAGGCTGCCATTACAAACCTGTTAATTGTTTGCTTTTATTGCGTTAGAACACTGGAGCGTGAACCCTGTGCTTGTTCATTTTCAAAGTGACACTGAAGTTGTTTGTATGTTTTATCATTTATTACTCCTTAAAAAAAACCCCAAATCTGTGTAAGCAGGTAATACCCCCTACTTGTACTCCAGTAAAAATAAACTCAAACCACAGCCCTTTCCTTGGATTTAGCATAGTCCTTTGGGTTTGTCACTACCTCAAAGGCTCCCCATCCTCTTCAGTGCTCTCTGCCCCTGCAGGTAAGTCACTCTCCCTTCTCTGTCAGCTTAGGACATGAGCCTAGATAAAGTCCCAGACACTGTCAGCCTGCTCTATGCTGTTCCAGTTCAAGGGAGGCTTTAAAACAAGGTGACAAATAAAAGTGAGACACTGAAAGCTGAATCATAATTGAAAAGACCAGGAAAAAAAAAAAAAAGGTAAAGCTCTCTCCTAATAAGAAAAACTATAGAAGTTCAGGCTTTGGAACTGTGGGCCTTCAAACCTGCTCAGGTGTTCTGTTCAAAGAGTTTTCTGTCTGTACCTTTGCCACCTCCACCTACCTCCCCCTCAGGCTCCCCAGCAAAGGCTGCCTTATTTTCCTGACAAACAATTTCTACAGCACAAAAACATCTGACTTTCAGGGACAGTAGCTGGTAGCTCCCACTCCTTCCCCTATCCTTGTTTCCTTCCAATTAGTGGATGTGGAGTCTTTTTAGAAAATTTTATTGTTTAAGAGAGAAAAATGCAAGTAGTCACCCTCTTGCTCCCACTGGAAGATTGTTAAGAGTTAGGCTATCTGTTCTTCACCTCAGTCCCTGTAAAATGCTTTCTACAGTCCCAAATGAACAGACTTTCACTCTAAGGCTTTACTGGTTTAAAAAAAAAATCAAAAATCATTATGCTGTGTTTCACACTGTATTTGACCAAGCAGCTTTTCACACAGTTTGTGACCAGGACAAAAAACCATTTCAATGAATTCTCTCATGCACTGCTTTTGTGTGAGATGAAAGAAAAAAAATGGGATGGGAAAAGTTAAACTTGGGTAAGTTTTCTGTACATAGCATATCACCTTTTGCATGAAGAATTCTGAATTGCTTAAAACTCTTAAACAACATTTCTATCAATGCACTACCTGGATACCATTAGTTTTCTGAGTTTCCCTGATGATCACAGCAGCTCACTGGAGCTGCTGGAATCCAGACTATAACCCAGGGATATAACACCAGAGCACAGAGCACAGCAATTATCACTAGGTTTAATAAGATGATAACAAATTACATTAATCAGACAAATATACCACTAATTATAAATACTAAAATAATAATTTCTTCAACTGAATAATGAACAATATGTAATAAATAATAAAATATTTTTACCTCAGTGACTAGTTTTTTTATTTGATTGTTATTCTAATTTTAAATCTGTGTCTACTAGTGAGCAGTTCTGGTTTTAGGTATTTTGCAGTTCTTTCTTAGGCACCGTACCTCATACAGCTGCAAACAAACAGCATCTATGAATCCAACCTGCATGCTGGGAATTTTGTTTTTCTTCTCTCTGTTCATTAGATCCTGTAGGTAAGAAGTAAACAAGCTCTGTGTTTAAATGCATTCAATAAAAAACCCAACCAAAACCAAGGAGACAGGCTGCAATTAAAAAGCAGCACCTTAAACAGCACAGCAAGCTCAGCCCAGTGGGGTATCAGTAGAAGTGTTACAATGCAGGTAATTTGACTGCATGACTTCCCTTAGGAGATTTGCTTTGGATTAACAGAGCCCAAATAACTAGAAACACAGGCAAACTTACTGGGTTTGGATAGGCTGCAAATAGGTACCAATTCAGGAATGTATTTCCTAGACAATTTAGTAACACTGATTTGAAAGAAACAATAAAGTCTGTTGTTCCGGTTCAGAGTTAATGACACACACTGCTGCTGTGAAAGGGAAAGAGTTTGTCCTATATTCTGGTCAGTGGGAGAAATTGTGGATTTTGAAGTGCTGTTTCCAGAAGCCATTCTGCAAGAGGTGATTCTGCCACTTACTGTTGGTTCTATGTTGAGTTCCTTCCGCTCTTTATCTCCTTGATCAAAGAACTCAGTAGCTACAAGCTCAGCAATCTGTAAGAGATTTCACACATTGAGAGCTCTAATGTGGATATATCAGACTGGGGACTCCCCCCAGTGAGGCTCCAGCTCTGCATTCCACCACTGCCTTTGCAATAAGGGTTGGATGGAGGAAGCAGAAGCTGTTATGTAGTTTGTATTGATTAAATCTTAAAAATGAAGCACATACCCGTTGCTGGACTGGCCATGGTTTGGTTATAGCTGATAAATCACAAGCAGTCATCAGCATGGCTCTGTAGAACAAACAGAGAGAAATGCATGAGCTACTGTATGGTGAAATGCATGGAGACACCAAGGCAAGTGATCAGTAAAACAGAATTTCAGGGAAGATCCAAGTCAGAAAAGCAACTGAAATTAAAGCAGAGTTATAAATGTAGCCCAGGCCTGATGCTGTGGTAGATGTCTCGATTCTCAGTCTTCTTTTTTCTTCATTGCCAGTAAGGAATCAGCTTCAAACCAAACTGCCTGTCCTGATTCTTCAGTTACAGGTTTCAGAAATTCACTATTTAAGCATAAAGTATCAAGAGCAAAACAACGTGGTTCCTAGACAGGTACCCTACACTCTCTAGGAAGAACAAAAATGCTCACATAACTTCATATGATACTTAGTAAAGTTTATTCCAGAGGTTGCAGACTTAGTAGTTCTGGCCCAGGGAGTTGTTCAGTGCCTATATGACAGTGCCAGTTGTACAGGCCCAGAGTGCACAGACCTGCTCACAGTAACATGGCATGGGAAATGGGTACCTAATAGTATCAGCTGACTTCTTAATCATTCTGCTTTTACTTACAAAAATAGCTCCTTCTGTGTGGGGTCTTCCCAATTAAACTGCTTCTTCCTTAGAAGTTCGAAAAATTCTCCTCTCCTCCTTTAAAAGAAGTTAAAAGATTTTGCAGCGTGATGACATGATCCAGACATCCAGCAATGACTACCCAGCCAAACTTTCCTCTGACTTACTTTATGTACAGTGCTAGGTCTGTGGCAAGAATGGCTTGTTTTATCATTTTCAGTGTAGCCTTGTATTCTTCAATGGAAAGGTTGCTGAGAATCTGATTTCCCTTCAGAAAAAAAGCCAAAAAGCAGTGTTATCAGCAAAATGGGCAGCGGCACACCAGTTTGCTAAAATGTCTCTTAAGCTACTAAATCATTTCGAGTTGCTAGCTGATGTCATTCTTTTACCCTGCTTCCTTTTGCAGATTCCCCAATTTAAAAATAAAAATTCCAGTCTTCTTGAGTAATGGCAGAAAGCTGCACAGCAACAGCATCAAGATTGACTATTAAAAATGAAACTGTAAACAGAGCAACATCCAAGCTCTCAAGTCCATTTCATTCATCAAAATTAAATTTGCCACGAGCTCCTCCAAAGCATTTCTCTTTCCTCTTCCTCCCCCTCCCCGAAGCAGAGGAACTGTGACAGATCCCAGTACCTGTCTGTGCACCTCTAGTAAATAAAAATATTTTCCTGTTGTGAAGCAGCATAAATAACAAGCTGTTAGACAGAAATAAAAGCTCAGCAGCCTCCTGTTAAACCAAAGCTGGTGAAGTGGCAACAACTTGCCTCCCCTTTTTTCCCATATTTGCCCATCTGAATAGGAAACAATCATCACAATACAAAGGATGCCAGAAGCACTGTACCTGTGGTGTGAAAGGAGCAGTGCTTTGAAATGATTGTGCACACTGAATAACTGGGCTTCGGAATTAGTTTAATAACATGAAACAAGAAGAATGTCATTTTATTTGCATATTTACTTAACTTAGGTTTGGCTTCACTTTGGAATGTCAACATTAGCAGTGTTTGGTTTGGTCTCATCGGGGCTGCTTTGTGTATGTGTAGGCTGGAATGTCTTTTGGAATGAGAGCAAGGACTTGGGTTTGTTTGGTGGTTCGTAAGAGGTCATGAAATGGCAACAAAGCCTTTTGTTTCCCTTGGTCCAAGGAAGCAGGTACCCAAAAGGATATTAGCAAGGCTTCCCTTATCAGGCAGCACTTGGAAAGGTTTGGTGGCGCCCAGCAGTGCAACTGGGATTTCGAAGCTGCTGCATTTGCTTTCTTTACCCAAAAAGGAATAAAGAGCACTTGAGAATGTATAAGGGTGGGATTCTATCCAGAAGCTAAAAATAGAAAGTAGAACAGTTTCCTTCAGCATACAGAAGAATGTGGCACTCACTGGGCTGTTCAGGATCATAAGGCATTGATCAAAATGGTGATGCTCCATGATCGAGTGGCAGTACAGCTGGGCCAGCGGATGTTCGCTTCTGAGGAGTAAAAACACCCATTAGATGGAGAAATCAAATTAAACATCCAGAAATAACTTCCCTTTTGATATCCTCTTCACAGGAGTGTGGATAAAAAGACAGTGCTGTTACTCTGTCAGAGCACTGACAGCTCTAGTTTTCTGCCTTCTGTACCTGTTGAGATCAGCTGCACGCAGGGAGGGAGAATGTAATATAAGGTTTTATAAACAGTTCTTGTATGAGAAGCAAAGGTAACGAGAAGAGATCACTCACAAGCAAAGTTTAAGTGACAGTTTTGGTTTCTCTAACATCCTAAACACCTGTCTGGCATATTTAGTCAGCTCAACTGCTGGGCTTGTAAATAATAATGCAAATTTAATTGGAAACCCACTAATACCAATGGAAAAATTCCTGCTGACCTCAGTGTACTGCAGTGCAGGGGCCCAAAACGTTGATCAAGTAATTTCCTAGTGTTAGTAACTACTGGTGTTTCATCACCACTATCTTCCTGACCAAACTACTGCAACATCTTACCTACCCTTTGCCCAGGGTAAAATCCAAAAGGAAACAAGGTGTTGGTTGTACTACAGGCAGTGAAAAAACAGCATTAAACCTGCTGTGTAGATGTAGAATTTAAAAATATCTTAGTTTAGAAAATAGAATTTGCAGTTTGAGTAGCTTTAGACGAAGCACAGAAACTCCTCCTCTCTCAAGGATTTCTAATTTCTCCCTGTTGCATAACCCAGTTCTTAGTTTTTGCTGCTGTATCTTCATTTTCAGCCCCTGGTCCCACATTGCTCATACCATCTCTTCAACTAAATCTGCGTTCTTTTGGAAGTCTGTTTTGCTGCTGATCCTGAATCAATTACTCTATTTATAATCTGACCTACAAGTGTTGAATCATGTAAGAAATTCTTTTTTAGCATATAGTTCCATGTGACTTTCTGTACGGTTAAGGATCATTCACATGAACTAGTGGCTGCAGCATTGGGTCCCTCTGTGAGTGAGTGCACAGAGACTCAAATAAAAGTCATAAGAGGAGACCCTGGGGATTTAAGAAGCACAAAAATGTGGAGAGAAAGATGGAAAGACAAACAAAAATGCGGAAAGGGAGATTAAAGGATGCAAGCCCTTGAGGATTATGGGCTGGCTGCCCAGCACCTCCTCTGAGACCACCACAAGAGGAGTACAGAGCAAATCTGCCTGTTTCTGTAAGGAAACAAACTGTAGGATGGTGCCAACACATGCTGGGTGAAATTCCCATTGAGTTAAGTGGGATGTGTACTGTGTCTCCTAAAGTTCATCCTGACTGCAGAGAGAAATATGTGAGAAATATCTTAGGTTATCTTCCCAAGTACTGCACCAAACTAGAGCTTGCTCAGTACTTACAGACAAAGGACACCACTGCTCTCTGAAACATGCATATTTGGTTATCCAGCTTCCATACTTTACTTTATCCAGGCTTCCTACTTTACATGTAGGATTGGAGGAAAGAGAAAAGAACCCCCCAGCGTATCTACCAAAGGGCTTCTAAGCAGCCCCTTCCCTGTAATTTCCACCACCAGGACAATTTTAATTTTTGAAACCCTGCTGCTTAAGGAAATCATACACTAAGTATCCACTGTCCCTGCTTCAAAGGAAGAAACAAAGAGAATCCGTTCCTGGAAATAAAAACGTTTTCATTTAGATTTGAATGAGAGATTAAAAAAAAAAAGTCATGGAAATTTCTATTGAAAAAGAATTATTAAGCTGTAATCATCTCTGCTTTACAGCATGTGCAAATGTTGGATTTTGCTGTCTATGACACTTTCCCAGGACATTTTTGAGAGGAGATGACGCATCTCCAGATGTCTTCCAGGAAATTTATTTTTAAATAAATAAAGCAAAAAATAGCTAACTGGTTCCAATCACTGCAAGGCTACAGTTACTGCTGGGATCCCCTATTAGAGAATTAGAAAAAAGTTACTCTTTCGGTTTTGTGGAGTTTTGGAGTTTGTTTGGGTTTTTTTCTCTTTACATCAGTCAGTGTTATTCTGAATGTATATGTGAAAGGCAGGAATTCTGCTTCAGCTTACTGATTTTCTGCCTTTCAGTATTCTCTGCCTCAAACAACCTTTTCCTCCCTTAGTATCTTACTTCACACACTGTGAGAACAGCAGACCACTTCTTCCAAGGGGCGCTTCAAAAACCACTCTCTCAGACAACCCAAGCTCGGTGCAAAACAGTCATACGTTTTTAATGTGATTTTAACTATGCACCTTATCCAAATCTGCCTGGAATTCTCAAAGGACATGGCTAAACCACGAGGAAAACAATCCAAGTCCCAAATGGCCGGGAGACACCTCTGTGTCCGATGGCTGCAGATCCCAGCGCTGTGCTGGCCCACGGCATCAAATCCGTCCGGTTGTCCATCATTTATCCGGGATTTTGTCACTCGCTTGTTTTTATCTCACTTGTCTCAGCCTTGCTTACCTTTGTATGTAAGAGTTGTTCACTCCCCTGTGATCCAAATCGTGGCTCAGGGTGGCGATCAGCAAAGCCAGCGTTTCTAGGTCAGTCAGTTTGCTCTGGGTGGAAAGAGCAAGGCAAGAAGTGAGCTGGGGCTTTGTTTTGCACAGTGGGTTTTATATCTACTTTCTAGCTAATGAAACCTGTCCTCAGTCTAGTCAAAAGACAGTTTGGAAAGGCTTGATTTTATGTTTCTCCTAGGAAGGTGTGTCCCCCAGTGCTTGCTCTCCCCCTGGAACTAGGAAAATTTGAGAGGTTTTATGTTCAGTGCCGTTCAGACTCCAGAATCTAGGACATGAGAATCAGCGTGGAGTGAATCCAGGGTAGTTAGGAATAAACAATTTATGGAAATTGGAGTGGAGACTGACAGGATTCCAAAAATAGCAAGCAAACTATCCGGATCCTCAGAGGTTGCTCGACTGCACACAGAGCAAAACTACCCTGGCCATTCCAGCACAGAAGGAAGAGGAATGCCCTTGCCTTTGTCTCTTCCAGCAGCTTTTGTCTTTTTTATTAGGGAAACAAAATTTGTAGGGGAAAGAAATGCCTCTTCCTTGTTGGTATTGGGTTTTGACCTAAAAATAGGATTTATTTATGCTCTCAGAAGTGTATAAAGCAATTAATAGCAACTGTCTGTAATCAAACTGAAGAAACACCTTAATTCTGAATGAACAGAAACATTCTGTTTCCTTCATGAATGTAAAACTGAAACCTAAAAACATACTTTGGATGAATCCTGAATCAGTAGGGATTCTAGCCCTTCAGTAGGGATCATCTAGTCCTTCAATCCAGCCCTAATCAGAATGATTAGGTTGTTTTTTTCAATTATTATGTGTCTTTTAAGTGGAAGGTTGAAAATTTGTTCAGAAGCACTGAAATGAACATTTAAATCTTTATTTCTGTATTTTTATCTTCTGTTGGTTGTCTAAAGCTGTACTCAGCTTTGAACTTAAAAAAATTTTTCCTGTTGAATATTTTATGGAAACATCCAGAAATAGGGTCAGGCTTTTCTCCCCCACCTTTTTGACTTGCCTGCAGTGTAAGTGTTAACTTTAAAGGACATAACCATGTACGTGCCTTATTTGGGATATTCCCATTGGGAACATCCAGCTGACCATTTCCAGAGAATTTACTGAAACTGGGTACAAAACAACATGTCAACAGTTTCACAAACTAAGCCCTTAAAGCCAGAAGTCTTCAGCAGACATATTTTGATTTCTGGCAGTACCGTGGAATGATGAACATCTTACTGACGTGACAATCAGAACTATGCATCATTATATAATTTGCTTAGCCAAAAGATTCTTAATGCAGAAAATGTACCTGAATTTTACCAGATTTCAGAGCAGCAAACATGCACTGGGCAGTATTAAAGGCATGTCTCCAATTGTGGTAGGCAACGTTCTTCCGATAATTTTTCTTTACACTTAAAATCCATCTGCAGAGAACCTTGAAGAAACAGCATCAGATAGTTTAAATGTATTACAAATCCACTCTCTTTATGAAAACCAATCTTTCTCTAATCCCACTAGGAAACTCTCTTACAGAAAAAAAAATGTTTTAAACTCAATTGAAACTTCAAATTCAACCTACTTTTAACTGTGAACATAGATAAGAACACGCCTACAACCACTAGTGCAGCCTCTCAGTGAGTTTGTGATACTTGTGGGTTTAGTTTTTTGTTACTAATGGCTAAATGCTAGTGTCAGAAGCACTGCTGCTAATTCAGAAACTGAGGTGTGCTGAGCTCTAACTGGGAGAGAAAAAAAATCCTTCTTTACAATGACATATTTGATAGAGAAGATATATTATTTAGTTATAGAGTCCTCTCAAGAGCTGTTCTGAAAATGAACATGTGGCTTTTGCCTCCTATCAGCTTGCCAAAAAACAAGCAGAAGTGGACTTTGGAAAGCACATAACTATGAGAGAAAGATTACTATATTGCTGGGTAGTTTCTTTTCTATGCTGGAAGAAAGCATGTCCTGGGTGTTTTACTCAACAGTTATCAGATGTTGTGGGTTGTACTTTACTTGAAAAAAAGTGACAGGTAAGTAGGTCAGATAATAATTTAATGTTCCCTAGAACAGGGTCCTTGGTTTAAAGCCAGGATACTGGATACAGAATATTGCTCCATGTTAAATGCTGGCTGAGAATCCAGGCCCTGGTTTGCTCAAAATTTTGAGTGTTCCTAGTGAAAGATGTTGTGCTGACAGAAAATCCAATGTCATTCACCCACAAAAAGGACTCCACTCAGACAGAGGCAGCAGTAATAGGCTACTGGCAGTTTTCTTTAGCTCTCCTGTGGGAAGTTTAAATGGTACCTTCAAAGCTGTCAATGTTCTCCTGCTTCTACTGACACGTGGACTTGCCTGTCTATTCCCACAGTGTTCTTTTGGTTTTGCTAATCCATTGCAATTGCTCCACTAGGAACTTGAAGCCCTCCCATTTTTAGCCTCCCTGACTCCCTCTCTTCTGTTGGGACATATTCCTTAAGGAAGTACAAGTGTTTGACCTTACTACAAAGGTAAACTAAGTACTGGGATATTCCAGAGGTCAGACTAGGTAATACAGTGATCCTTTTGGTCCTTGAACACTACTAATCTAAATTGGTCTATAAACCACTGATATAGAAAATAAATACATGTTCTATTTAACTAATTTGTTTACCTATGAATCCCTCCAAATTAACTTTGCATTTGGATAGTGAACTTTGAAAGTTTTCTTGGAAAAGGTATAAAGCAAAAATAAAGTATAAAAAGGAAGGTTTTTACAAATAGATATTGTGTGCATTGACTGAAGAGGCTGAAGAGATTATCTATTTTACCTCAGGACTATAAGCAAAGTAAGAATACCTGTCTCAATCACCTCTGACAGGTGCACATCTACAACTAGATCTGCTGGTTAAAACCTGCAGGGACATTTCCACAGCCCACATAAGGAATCCGTTTCAGTCTCTGTTATCTCTGCAACTATGAATTTCCCTCTAAAATCTAATCTAATCTTATGTAGGGAAAGACTAAGATAGTTCCTACCTTATATGGACAAAGTGAACAATGTCCTCTTTATAACAGCCTTTCCCTTACTGAGAAGTTGCATCTCCCTCCTCAGTGTTCTGTTTTCCAGTCCATTAATCATAGACTGTAAAATTATTCATCATTCAGCAGAAAACTGAGGACAGACCCCAACACTTTATATACCTTCCTAGTTTGCTAACTGCTCTGTAATACAGCTTCCCAGTTCTCTTTCCTGGGGTCATTTCACTATTGTCCCGAATTTCTAAGAATTCCTGGTGTGTGAAGCAGTGTTTGGCAGCATCCATACCTCGTGCTTCATTTGGAAATTCTGCACCAGGTTGAGGTCTGTGAACATGCGGATTGTGCACAGCGTCGTTTCAAAGTCTGACAGCTCAAAGTCACTGAAGTAGAAGTCGGTCAGGTTGAGGCATTGTGCAGATGGCACCACAGCAGCCTGGAGAAGAAGGAGAGGACACAGCTTAGCACTAGGGAAGAGAAAGGATAACAGAAACACCTGTTTTGTAAGAAGAGAAGGGGTGAGACACTAAATTTTACCTTCACGAAAGTGATGATTACCTCTCATTTACTTCCCTTAGCCTTCCATGTTTAATATTATCTTATTACCTTAGATTTAACACATACTTTTCCGTAGATCAAGAGGATAAAGGAAGAATTACCTGGTCAGTCTGTTATCTAAGTCACCTGAGGCAAATTGCAACCAAGAGTATGTGTGCAATTGGGAGAATGAGAAAATAAGGCAGTGGAGTTGTGTGTTTGTTTTTATGAATGTGCAGATATCAAAATCTGTAACTGTTGCCATTTTGCTAAAAATGACAAGGAAAGAGATGTCAGTAAAACAGATTTCCTAACAGGATCCCCATTCAGAACAATTGTAGACAGAACATATTCACAGGCAGAGCTTTCTCAGGGCTGGAAACCTGAAAAATCAGGGTTCACCTGTGATCACTAATCTTTAAAACCTATGGACAATGTTCTTGGTGCAATTTGAGTATAATCATAAACTTTCACCGTGAAATTTGAAATTACAAAGTACACAAAAAACCCCCAACTCTACTTTTTTTAATCTGTATTTTTAATTATCGGTAATATCTCCGTGTATTACATGTATTACAGCTCTATGTATTACAACTCTAATTTTCCTGGTGATAAAATGCAGAGTATAGGTCTTGGTTGCCCCGCAAAATACAGGTGTTAAGGTTATGCTAAGTCTTATCCTAACAAAATAAATGTCTACAATATAATAATATCCAAAAATCAATAGTCTTAGTCTACAGAAAAAAATTCAGTATCATTATTTTTCTGTAAAGGAGTTCTCAGTTCTTCACAGCTGTTTCACCTCAACTTGAGGGTGGATCAAAACAAATCAGGTAAATCTGAAATGGTGGAGGAAATAAATATCTGTGTTTATCTTCCTCTTTGTAATTCTAGGGGAAAACATTTCTCCTGGAAATGTTCCAGCATGGGGAACTGTGTCCCGGGAGCCTGAGGCACTGAAAAGGAAGCATGTGTCATAATCTACAGTATTTTTACATGTAGCATGTAAATCCCCATAACTACATCCAGCAGTCCCTGTTCCATAGAAGTTTGCTGTTACCTTTCTTGTGTGTCAGAATTGGAAAGTCATGAAAGATTATGAAAACCAGTATTTACACAGGGGGAAAAAAAATTCTTGTACCAGTAATTTTGTGTCCCTCAGCCTGGATTCATGTGGTATCTCACCTGTGAGCATGTGAAAGAGCTGTATGTTCAGTGGCAAATAATGCACCTGTTCAGGAACTCTACTGACATAACTGAAAATCTGCAGCTGCAGGCTGGTATTTCACAGGGAAAGGGGCTGGAAGGACACACTCGGAGCTGAACAGGGCACCTCATGCCTGTCTTCTCACTTCATTCATAATTTATCTTTCCCTTCCTTGATCTCCTGCCTTTGACTCCACAACAGTAAGTTTCACTTCACCTGAGACATAAAACCCCCTGCACTCTGTAGCTATTCAAGTGATATTCAACCAGATTAGAGATTTCCTCTTTCCCTTACTGAAGCCAGAAGAGCTTTCAGCCCCCCATTTTATAGCATTTTAATTTCAAGTTATTGAGCTATGGTCAGCTTCTGTGAGCACTGACCAAGCAAACTGCAGCCTCTTGCCCAATTTCTCCACCTTGGGAATATTACAAAGAGCATGAAATAGTCAAGAAAAGAAGAAAATGTGCCAAAATTCCCCTCTTTGCATAACTGTGACTTTTCAATTCCTATTGCTTACTAGAAGCATCGTATTAATGGTAATTAGTAGTGAATAATTAGTGACTGCATTTCATTGCCTGGTTAAGTGTAGAAAGTAATTTTTAAAACCTGTCTTCTATTGTGAGTGACAAACATACAGATCAAGCTTACAGCTTTGTGTAATACACCAAGGCACTCCCTTCAAGGATGCCTCAAACACAGGAATAGCCCATTCTGGAGTGTGCTGAAGTGAGCGTGGTAAAAGGCCAGCAGGGATGCACAGGGAATTCCTGATGGAGCTCAGACAGAAAACTGAAGTACAGAGAAGGAGGAAGTGGGGATGGGCTACCCAGGAAGAACACAGAGACATCACCAAAGTGTGCAGGGCTGGAGATGGGAAAACCAAAGCTCAGCTTGAGTCGGGACTAGTGAGGGATGCAAAGGGCAACAAAAATTTCTGGCAGCAAAAAGGTGGCTGTGGAAAACATGGGAGCACTGTGGTAACTGAGTGGCAACCAGGAACAGTTTTGCTTTGTTTTGTTTGCATTGCATGGTAAAACACAGGTTGTATCCAGGCTCAGAGGAGGTGACTGATGCAACAGGACATTCTGTAGTGTGAGGAAAGTGAGAAATTTTACTACAGCCTATTCCACAATGCAGATAATGAGACACAATAGGACAGTTCCACTTGGAAGGGAACTACAATGATTTTCTAGCCCCACTGCCTGATGAAGCATCTGCTTTCTGTGCTGTCAGGTTATTTAGAAGCAAAACAGAGCAAATCACAGAAAGGTATATCCAGAAACATCACTTTAATCTATTTTGTCTGGCTTGACACAATGATATGAATGCAAAATGAAACAAATAAAAATTAGATGAGAGCAGAATAAAAAGGCCTGTGCTTGTGCTCTAGTCCTGTGTTGTCTGGTATGTCCTTAGAGAGTGGTGGCTGACACAGGCCAGGACTGTGCTAGGAAGCACATGGACAGGTAGGTGGAGGTGGACACTGGCCCAGTTCTAGGTTTGCTGTGGTTCTGTTTTATTTAGCAGTCAAGATGTGACCACAGAGATAACAACCCAAGCCCTGCAGAGAAACCCCAGGAGATGTGCTGCTCTTGTCCACGGCTCTTTATGGCTGGGCAGCAGCCTGGTAGGACTGAGGTTCAAAAGCCACGTGACACTTACTATTCTAGAAACACCTGTAGTCTTACACCTTGTTCCATGGCACCTTGCTTGTCCAGACCAATCCCATAATACCCAGCCTGTTGCCCCCTGTGTCTGCCTTCCTCTCCATCCCTCCCATTTGTTTTTGTGCAGCAGGGGTGATGCTTTTTCCCTGGAACACCTCCTCCAGCAGAGACCTGGAGAAACTAAGCCCATGCTGTGCTTTGAACTGTGCTTGAAATCACAGCTGTAGTTATTCCTCAGGCAGTGCTTTCTACACACAGAATTAAACATGAGCAGAGCAGGACACTGCACAGAAAAGCAGCCATAAAAATAATAAAAATAAAAAATCACTGCATTAAAAATTAAATACAGAACTTCTACCAAGGCCATAAAGCTGCACCCATCCTTGGGATGCTTGAAAGGGACCAAAGCTGTGAGACATGCAACATTCAGACTTAGCTGCAAAATGAAGAGTTCTCAGCATTTTTTCTGGTTCTTGCAGTGCTCTGGCCAGCCTGATCAGAAATTTCTTCTGATTGAGGCATTGTAATGTTTCCTTTTCATATGATCTACTGATTCAACTCAGGAACTAATCAGTATAACCCTCACTGTCAGTTTTATTTCGGGAAGATGTGCTTCTGTGTGTTTCGGGATCACGTCTGTGTGAAGGACTGCTCTTTGTTCTATTCATGGAACATTTCTATAGGAATAGTAAAAAATTCAATTACCACTGTTACCTGCAGCTCCCTCGTTTCCTCCTCAGCAGCAGAAGCATGGTATGAGAGAACCTACAGAAAGAAAGAAGCAGCCCTTAGTACAAACAAAAGAGCAGTGTGGTAAAAGAGTACTTTTCCTAAAGCAGATTTTTCAACACTGCACTGCGTTTGCTGATGAAATCTATTGTCCATGCAGGGCCCACAAGGGCTTTAAGGGAGCTCTCTGAATGCATATGGGGAGATATCTGCAACTTGCACAAATCTCCCACAGCACAGAACCTTCTGGAGATAAGTAGGCCAGGAAAACGTAAATAGTTTCTATAAAAGAGCAAAGAACTCTGATTTTCTCTTTGGAAAGATTTCATGCCCCACTTTCAAAGACAAATAATACACGAAACAGCTATAATTATGAGCCTGACATTGTTGCCATAGGAATTCTTTCAGGAGTTTATTCAGACAGAGAAGAAAGTTTTGCCCTAACTGAAACTTGGCACTAAAGTCTGAAAGACAATATGTTTGTTTTAAATTAACTAAATAAGCTCATATTTTTTAGCTCTTGAGAACAAGGGTCATGAAAAGGTTATGGATTATTTTAGGCAGCTAGAGACTGATTCTTTTTTAAAGAACCCATTCTATGTGTTAACATATAATCTGTCTGGACCTCCTGTATTGCCCATAAAGTGTTACAGTAGGAGAGAGAATTTCTAATTTGCAATATAAACCAATCATTCTGACAATAATTTTACCCCCTTTTTATTTAACATGACTTAATACGGGTTTATTTGAGAGTTGTAACGTTTCTTTTAGAGGCTATGGGGTACATAATCCCCATTTTAGGAATTCTGCAAATACTCTGTTTACATAATGAATGTCAGGAGATCCAAAATCTATAAAGTTTTCACTTTCAGCTTCAAGTTATCGCCTCTGAGTAATTCAGCTTCTCAGACTAAAGCCCTCTTCAGCTGTTAAACTGAACAGGAACCAGCTCAAAGGCTGAGAGCAGATGATGCTCATCCTGCCATGGTTTGCTGGAGTCTGAGGAAACTGCTGCAAGCCTACAATAACGCTCCTGTTACTCTGTGTGTCCAAAGGGCTGAGCCAAAATCATCACAGAAAACCTCAGACAAGAAAAGGAAGCCCCTAATCCGCCCAAGCGTTTCCTGTTCCTGCGCGGCACAGCGTACCCGCTGAGCTGCCCCTGGGCAGCCTCAGGGAGAGGAAAAGATGGGCCCAGCTCACCACTGAATGTCATGAGCGAGGTTAAAACACAGCACCAAATGGAACAGTCTGCCAGCACATCCAGAAACAAGCGGGAAAATTCCCGAGCAACTCCGCAGGCCGAGTTCCCCGGGGGGAGTACTGTTTCTGTCCTGATGTGTAGAGCAGACAGGGTCTGGAGAAAATCACTTTGGGGCTAATTAAGGACCACCTAGTTGTGGAGCTCACCTCTAATGTCACCATCTGTTTGGCCATGGCTCGCTCCACAGCCTCGTACATCTGTGTGTTCTGGATCCCCAGGCCACAGAAGATGACGAAGGCTTCCAGGAACTGCTCGTCATTTCTGTTGAAAGCCTTGATCTTTCCTGAGTTTTCTTCCATCTTGTTCACCAGCTGGCAAACACCTATGGCAGGGTACAGAAAGGAAAAGAAGTAATACAGAGAACTGCCACCATATTACCTGTTGTAAGGAACAGCAAGAATTAAGTCTGGGACAGTTTAGCCTGCAGTATGAACCATCACTGTACATAAAAGGGACACACAGGAGTGCTGTAGGATTTTCCCCTGGTTTTGTTTTTTTTTTAAGAGTAATTTCAATGTATTATAGAATGAATGCTAAAACATATATGAAACAATTATATTTTACAAAGCAGATTCAAAAGTATTTATTGGGATTTGTAAACCAAAAATGTAGGGCTTTAGAGACTTGATTATCCTGTGAAATTCTAGGGTTGTTTTCATCCTAACTTTTATTATTAATAGTATTCTAGATTGATTTAATCCCTAAAGACAATTTGTCCTTTGGAGGCTAATTAAATTTTTGCTACCATGCCAAAAGAACATTTATGAAAGTCAGAACAGTGGTACACAGAGTTTTTGCTTCCTTATTTGAGTCAGTACTGGAATTTTTTTTAAGTAAATGAACTAAACAGAGAATACCCAAGTTGAGGTTCCAAGCTTAAGCAGAGTCACCCATTCCATGAAGATGTGATTGATTCCAGCCTGCCCAAAACACTGCTGAACTTCTTGAAAAGCATCTTACTGAATTCAGCTTGTTAGGCTCAAACCTGTTGGTAGCTGCATCTGTTTATTTTTCTCTTAAGAATTTCTGGACTTTTCCACGCCCAGGCCACTGAAAAGTCTGCCAGGTAACTTCTACCACACCTTGCTGCAGCTTAAGTCCCTGACACCATTTGAAGCAGAGGTACATTCAGACATACACCTCCCTTTAGTTTTGCCCAGCAGATGGTAATTTCTGCTAAAAAGCAGAATATTAATGAAAGCAGCTGCGTTATAAGAACATGTTGTCTTTGGCCAAAACTGCTTTGGGGGTGATTATTGTCTTAAGTGAGTGCAAATGTTTTCTCCCTCCCATGAGTGTGAGTACTAACAGTTTGGAGCATAAAAGCCAGCATTTTCCTGGCCAACTGCAAATACATCTCAGGGATTGTGTTATCTTAATATTGCAAACAAGATTCTGAACCTTAATGGGATGAGAAGACTAGATCACAGGATCACAGTAAAAAACATAATCCCAGCAAATAAGGATTTAAATAAGGAAAAAGATTAACTTTCCCTGGGAAAAAAAGAAGCTGATTTATAAAACTCTGTAGGAAAATCCCATGAAACTCACTTTCAGATCTCTGTTTAGCATGGTTTATGACATTATAATTATTCCCATAGCAACTGTGATGTCATGAACACAAGATTAAGCCCCAACAGTGAGTATGCCACAAAAGTAAATGAATTCCTAAAAGACACAGCATTTGGATGCACAGAGATGTCTCTTAAAAAAAATAGAGAACTGCAGTGAATATACTATGCAGTACTTCAGACTCTTTAAATCCCTTTCAAATACTTCCCCAAAGCACTGAGATTCCCATATATTACAAATAAAGGAACTCCAAAGTCTTTTACTGGGACATAGTTACAAAACCACAGCAAAATTCTGTAAAGCTTTCACCACATACCTGAGAAATGCACAAGTCAGGAGAATAAAAAAGTTCTTTTCATCTTTCTTGCCAGTAAGATCTGCTTGGTTTTGCTGCGGACAGTTTTTCCCACCTCAATCCCACTTCCCAAATTCTGGTTTTGGCTATACCACTCTTAAAATAATTTTAAAAAGAAACCAGACTTATGATAATAATAATCATGGATGCTGTATAGTGTGGCAAAGGAGCTTCTGGATATTGTCCCAAAGACAACTTCTTGACCTTGCCCTATTAAATATCTGAACATTAGGCAGATGTGAAACCAGAAGAGACTTCAAAGAACATTTCCCAATGAGAATTACTCAGATTTGAAAAACCCACCTAAATGGGTGGCCTGACTGAAATTCTTGCACTTCCATAGAAAATCCCAAGAGAAAAAAAAAAATCCATGAGATCAGTAGCTCACAGCATAGTGAAATATCTCTAATTAAAGCTCAACAGTTCAGTCTTCACCTTGGTCTACTAGGGTTTGCTAGAATATTTAAATAAAGTAATAAAAGAACTCAGGAAAGAAGCTAATACCAAAACTCCATTAGGTGAAGAGGATGCTTCTCTTTCTGCTTCAAAGGTTAAAAAAAAATAATCTGTCTTCACAAAAAAAGGACCTCATATTTACTATAAAAATTGGGCTCTGCAGTTTTGCCATAATTCCCAAAGAAAATTATTTGAAGACCATTAAAAATGCATTCTCGGAACTCTTAATATTTACTGGCCAAATTTTGTAAAGCTGAGTAAGTTGGATTCATGCTACTGTCTAGGGATCAGTATGTTTTATTTTTTGTTTGCTTGTGGAACTTACTGATGCCAGGAACTCAGGCTGATACTCATTCTGCTCTTTGGTAACTTATTAGGTAAGCAACTTATACTCAGGGTGGTCTCAGAGGACTTATTAATTGAAAACATGATAATTAAGGATCTTTTCTCCCGGCTTGAGATTCCACGTTGCTTGGATTTTACTGTGGAGCACATCAATATTTCTGTGAAATGTATAACGACATTTTTGTAGAGATACCTACCTATCACTTTATTCTTTTTCCCATTTTTTATTGGTGTACACAGCAAACTCTTTATGTGTTGGCTTACATTTTCTGCACTGTCATTCTGTTAGACAAACAAAAAAAATACAGTTACAATTTTAGAGACGAGTGTTCAGGTGGCTGAAGGTGGGTCTGCAACTATTCTTTGCTTACATACTCCTTCAAAAGGAACCATGTCTTCAAAGAGTTTGCACACAAACAACAAGTAGGAAAACTACTACCAGCTAGGGCAACATTCTACATCCTTCCAAAGATTTTCCATCATGTCTCGTGCTCCAGTAGAAGGAGAATCAATTTATTTGGGAAGTGGAAGGTTGGATCAAGAAGACAATGCCTCTTTTTCAAATACCTGGTGAGAAAAGGATGTAATTCTACTCTGACTGCTCCTGGAATAATGTGGCAGCTGCTGAGAAGTACATTTGGTCCAATCTCTAATTGTATGTGACACAAAAAATGGGCACACATTAATATTTCCAATCAAAAGGTTATCTTGGTGGTTTTTTTTTTTTAACTATTGTTGCTCTGCTCTCTGGTGCTGTGCAAAGACTGTAGATAGGATCTTGGCAGGTGAGTGCACAAACACTGTAATGCTTACAAGTGGCAATAGGAGATGTGATTCTTTAAAGAAATCATTAAAGGATTACATCATGCCACATACTTTACACAACTCCAGCCACTTAAGTACTACTACTTAATAGTAGCCCATTATCAAGAGGGTTATACAGAATAACTCAGGAGCAGGATTGTTTTCTCAGCTGCAATACCTGTGCAATCAGCTGTAAAAAAAGGAGATAAGAATCAGCATCTCTCCCTAAAAGTCAAACAGGAGAGGACTGGAGATGAAACCACAGTGGACGGTGCTTAATAGAAGTGCCTGACCCAGTATTAGTGAAAAGGAAGGAGAGTAAGCCAAAACCAGGCTTAAATGCCTTTAAAGGAGCGTTGTAGATATTTGAACTTTGTCTCCACTGCACTAACTTTGTTGGTTCGGGGAAGAACACGGACACCTGACAGCTGAAGCTCAGCATTTGGCTTCTGTGCTATCCTTGGAAATGGCCTGAACCTGAGGCAACTTCACAGCTCAACATCACAGCACAAATAAACCCAAGCTGCTCTTCTGCCTCGTGCCATTTCCTAGGCAGTTCAGGCCACCAAAGCGCAAAGGTATTTTCATGAGGTGACTACAGATGCTGTTGAATGTCCTCCAAAGAAAGAGGCAAGCCAGGGTTTCTAGGGCACTGGGAACACCTGGGATTTCCCTCACATCAGGGTTCATCAGCTTTCGAAACATTTAGCCTCCAGCCCTGCCTTGGGACTGCTCCTAAGCAGCGGTGCAGATGCAGTCACTGTGTGCCAAAAAACATTATCCAGAATTCTTTCTAACAGCACTGTTATTTTCTTTTTATGACTTCCTTCCATAAGGTGTGTTCCAGGCAAAAATGCAAAATAACTCTACTGAACAGCCTGTTTCAGACAAACAGTTGTTTGGATGACTCTCAAGGTATTAATTTTATTTTTAAATGTCTTCCAAATAATCACCTCTTTCTTTATTGATCTATACAGTATATCCACCGGATTCTGTCTGTACTTCCAGTCCTGCAGTTAAGAGCTTTGGGCCCTGTACTGCAAAGTGCTGAGCACTTCTAGAAATCCACTCCAGAACATTCGTGAAACCTTGCACAGAAAAAAAAAAGGGAAGCAACAGAGCTCCCCACCACAAGCCTGCCCCTTCTTTCCACTTACTGGAACAATCACACTGAACACTATATTTTCTGACCTCTTTGCTGTGTGTCTCAGAACAAATTTTGGTAAAAAGCCATCTGCTGACCGTAGCAACTCATGTCCCTCTCATTACCCTCTCCCTGAGCCCCTCTGGGAAACAGGCTTAAATACAGTAAGAAGAGCAGACATCTTTCTAATTTCTAGAAGGACAGGAAAATATAGAATTACAAGTTTGCTTTTTGTTAATGACAACTCTGCAGGCAACCTGACTGGAATCTGAGTCCTGCCAGGTGACCTTCCTTCCTCACTCTCCATTATCCATGTGCTCAGTAGTACACCATACCACGAGATCACACTTGTGAAGCAAAAGCTCCCAAACAAAAGTGAATTTGTTCCATCTCCAAACCAGCAAAGAACCTGCATCTATAACATTAATCTTTGCCAGAACAAGAAGGGAAAGGATAAAAGGGAATGGGGAGCCTCCCAACGCTCTCTGTGTACCCTCCTTTGTGCTTTCATTATTCTAACCGGGGCCATTACATTGACAGAAACAATAAGGGGAAAACAAAAAAAGCCTTGAAAGGTAAACAGAGAAACATTTTCTGTTTCTGATTTCCAAATCTAAGCTTATTTTCCTTACCGTCCAGGGAAATCTTCTGTCTTTGCAGACATCTGGGATGTTGAGTGGCTCCATGGTGTTCTTGACGTACTGAGCATACATGTAATTGATTTGGTTTGTGTCGTAGTCCCTGAAGGACACAACAACACCACTGTTATGTGCGTGGCATGGAAATGAGGCATTGCATTTATGCCCAGCAGGTAGGAGTAATATCTTTCCTGTATGAGAAAAGGATCTGTAGATACAACTAATAGATATATAATGGGGTTGAGTTCAAACCCTGGATCCCAATCCAGCTGTCATCACAAAACTGCAGTGGACTGACGTGTGCATTCCACCATTTCTTATTCAACATTAACACTGAACACCAAGCTGAAAAAATAAACAAATCCCTACGGTTTACACAGATGAAGGACAGAGAATGAACAGCTGCGTTTATATAGAAATAAACAGAACCTTGTGAAAACCAACTCCATTCACAAATCTGACACACTTAAAGAGCCAATACTGGATGAAATTCCCATATTAGTTAAAGAGACAGCAGCAGGTATCACTTGGGAATTTTCTGCTTCTAAGTTCATTTCAAATTTGTTCTAAAACTAAAGGCCCAATCAGTCATATGGAGATTCTGTTACTGAAATAGAACTGTTTATTCCAAATTGGGACACAAAGGACATTTACGGAATCAGTCATCTCCACTCTTTTAGTCACAGCTTATTTAATTAAGGTATTTTAATTCTCTTACACCCTCAGACCCTCCTGCCTTCGAGGACATATGCCCTCAAAATAAACCTATTGCCATCAAGCTCCCGGAGTTTCCCTCTGACATTTGACTTGACTTCAGTTACCCTCCTGCTGTAAGGATGTTCACAGGGCTGGAGGGGTCCTTGATTACATAACAAGACTGAATTTTATTATGTAAAGTAATAATTCCTATCTAATCCATGTCATTATTTCTGCTATTGCCCAAAAATCACGCCTTTCAAGCAGAGCAGAAGTTCTGACTCCAGTGGCTGACTCACAGTACAGTCCTCAGCACGTAGTTGTGCTGTCTCATGAACAAAATTCTGATAGGAAATTCAGCCTTCAAAATTCCTCCCCTATCAGTTATGAGAAATAATTTACTGATGGCCCATGCAAGCAGTAAATCACATTTTGAGTCCATTAAATAGTAACCATAAAAGGGATAATGAAGTGGAAGGGTCCATTCTCATAGTGTAGAAGAGCAAGTAAAGAGGAACTTTCTTTTTCACCTTATGATCTTATCAGACTGTTGTACCTCTCTACATTCTGGTTGTACAGTGTCTAGAACTGTAATACAGCTCAACAGTTTTTGGTTGCTTAACCCCCACACTTTGGACATAATTTTCTAATATATGGAATTAATTTTAATATAATAAATGTTTACTGCAAAAAAAGCATCAAAGGGGTATGGAAATCTCCGTTTTCTCTCTGCACACAATATCCACAGTGAACATTTTATATACAACTGTGTCTCTTTTTGACATTATTTGAAACAGCTGTCTTTGATGGCAGAGAAAAGTAATGGAGACAGTAATTTTCAAACTTCAATACGGAGGTTCAGGCTAAATTTGGAAACTATTTAATCTGGGTATTTTAATTCAGCTATTTCTACCTCTCCCTTCCTCCCAGTTGGTTTCTCAAAGATGACTGAAAGTTAGAACTTTAGGACTTCAGTCTTGATTTAGTCAGACTTGTTCTTTAAGCCAGCTTCCTTATCTATGAGATAAGGGTGATGATTAAAATAACTGATTAAAAATATTAATAGGATTATTATCTTCTACTCTACACCATAGTTGCCTACATAGACAAGAGATCGGGCCCTACTCTCCTGTTCTGCTCAGTGGGGCCTTTTCAAGGCAAGAGAGTTTGTCTGGGCACACTTCAGGGCAAAACCTGCTCTCTAAAAATAGCAGTAATACCTAGGACCCAGTAGAAATAAGGCCTGTTATTATGAAAAGAATATTAATAGCATAGTTTCTTCAGGATTCTCCTGGGATGAACAAAGGTCTGAATTCACTGGTTTACCTCTTCAGATTTTCAGCAGAATCTTCTAATTCCTCAGATTCCATGTGAAACACACTGGAAAATGTATCCTGGAATACCAAGAGGATATTTTAATACACAGGTCTATAAGGCTGACACAAATTAGAATAGTATGATCCGTGAAAACCTTGTTGCAGTTACCAAGACCTATTCTGTAATAAACACAAGTGTAAAATTCTTTCCCTTCATTTCACATCTGTACAGGATCCTGCCACAAAGACATCTTTTGGTACAACTTCAGGTATCATTGAAGTGTCTTGAGTCTCTACTGATGACTCCAAGAAGAAATGCCAGTATTTACAAGCCATACCAAATTTATCTGTCAGCACAGAAATTCTTTAACTACACAAAGACCAAAACCTCCCGAGTCAACAGCCAGCCTGAGCAGATGCCAGAAAATTAAAAACTGAGCATGAAAAGATGACAGAACATACTATGGGTCAGAAACCCTACAGAGTCAGGATTTAGGGAAACCCAAACCACTCCCAGGGAATAAGCTCTTCTGCCTTTAGCCAAAAGGCCACACTCACGGGACAGTCTTCATCCACTATGAAGATGGTACACCTCTGCACTTGCATGAAGGATATTATAGTGGCAGCTATCTTCTTCAGGATTACTTCCAAAGACTGCTGCTCCTCAAAGATCAGGCTGGCAAGGTCAAGAAGCACCTGGGGAAAAGGCCTTTTGTGAAATTTTGACTAGTTGTGATTTATGCAATAATTAGCATTACTACTGTCTTTGAGTCCTCTCTCCCCCTGAATCAAGGAAGTCAGTGTGTGTGTCTGTGACCACAATTAAATATTGGCTCTCACACAGACTGCAAAGTAAGTGAATAACAGCCAGTTTGACGCTTTTGATGGAGGAAATAAATAGCACAGATGGCTGGCTGATGTTTTGGGTCAGAGAGGCAGAATAGATTTAGGCATTAACAGGTCATCAAATGAAACCTGAGAAGTCCAGACAACACAGTTACTTGTCCTTAGGAAACCTAATGATTTCCTATGGTTCATGTGTGCATTCTGAAACCAGTGATATCTACATTTCTTAAAACTTTGGAGCACAATTACTATCTGTTGTAATTCTGAGCAGATCCCAATGAACTCATTTGGTGAGAGCATCATTTGGACACAGCACTTCAAAGCTGCTGCTGGAGGACTCGGCCGCTCAAATGTGCTCCTGTTCCTTTTTTTTGCCTCACAAGAAGCACGAAGGCAACTCGAAAAATTAGCCAAATTTGCACCAGTTTAGCAACCCTGAGGGTCACTTTGGAAACAGAGACCCAGCAGGAAATGGTTCCATACCTGATTCCGCCTGTTCTCCAGCAGAGACGTCTCGTACAACTGCGCGTTGTGAAGGACAATTCCGCAAAACGCCAAATAGGCGGCGAAGTCCTGCAGACAAAGGAACAGCAGCACCTCGTGGAGATGACGTCCCACAGTCAAAGATGAGCTGCTGCAATGTTTTGTTTCCACTTGGAAGTATTAATTGATATTTTTGTGGGTTTTGGCAACCACACATTCAGGGTCTGGGTTTTTTCGGTTGCTCCTAATTTGTTATTTCCTCAAGAATCCCTTCTCCTTTTGTTTAAACTAATGATCTTCGCAGGTTATCTTGGTGCAAGTAGGATTGATAAGACTGATATAAGAAGCAGCTCAAAGGAATCAAGTCATTTTGCAGCAATGCTTATTTTATTTAGAAAACCTGAGCGCAGACAACCAGCCTCTCTCATTTTGGGCTATTACATCTCTTGGAAAGGGGAAATAAAATTCTGCTAACATAGCAACCCCACAATTTTCCCCCTCTCAGTGTGAGATTAATTCTTATATCCTGCAGATACTCAGGCTGCATTTTGTTTTAAAGGGGGAGTTTTCAAAGAGAAAGGGTGAATTCTGATTCTTTTACTGCTGAGGATTAAGTCACTTCTTCAGCCTGAGCACAGCCTGGCTTTTGCCAAACCAACCTGAATGTGAAGTCCGGAAATGTTTGGAAAGCAACTGCAATGGGAGAATTAGGAATCAATTCTACTGTCTGCTCTACTGATTATCTTAGACATTGGTCATAATTTATCCAAAGCTTTTTCTTTTCCTGCAATTGCTATATTGAGAAGTGACACAGTATTTGAAAGAGAATCACTACACAAATTTTAATATTCAAAATATGTTTGTTGGCCATGCCAGGAGAGTCGGAACCATTGAATAAAAAATGATATCTCTTACAAGTTATGAAACTGTTTTACGATGCATTTCAGGAGAGTAAGCCTGTGTTTCAGAGATAAATGACAGATAACATCGTGATCCAGAAATCAAACTGTTTCACATCCACATTTCTCATGGCCTCATAAAGAAAGACATTTGCAGTATTAGCAGGAGTTTTTACTTTTTGAGAAAAATTAATTATTAACATATGCATCCCCCATCCCCCTGGGAAAACAGAAGAGACAGAAATGGATAAAGCTTTTATACCTTTTCATCTTGTTCAGTGAAGGTGCCACCAATTCCAGATTTCTTGTTGATTGCTTGAGCCACACCGACAACCTGGAGTGTTCAAAATGGAGCAATTAGGAGTCTGTCATCAGATTGTATTTCTAGGCATATGTATAGTAGATAATAAGTGATCATTACAGGTATTTGGTTGACTAATAAATCAAACTGTTAGTATAATAAATGTTTCCCACCTTAGCCTTTCTGTGTGTTTTCCTTCCTTTTGAGACTTTGCAGAGTGTTATTAATCTGACATAAAGTATAGGCAAAGCTTTTACATTTTTTCAGATTTTTTGGCATGATTACAACAAGTGACAGAAAAACTGCAAAGAACTTCCTTTGTTTGAGTCCAAGCAGTGTAAAACCAATGCAAGGTGTTAATGATGGTATTTTTTCATCTCGCTTTTTTGGGGATAAGCAATATCAGAAGAAAACTGTGTGTGGTGGTTAAATGTTGAAAAAGTTAACTGTTAATCATTACATTTGTAACTGCTAAACTGATAGAAGGCATGTGGGTTTATTTTTGTAATGGAAAAGAAGACAATTTACTATCTCTCAGCCTCGCATTCCCCAAATACTGATGTTACAAGCAAGGTCATTGTTCTGCAGGATGAATCGCTGCCAACTGTGGGCTCAAAAATGTCTGTCTGAAATAAAGCTGAACTGTCAGCTCCCTTCCACACCACCCAGCTTTTCCCACAGTCACCCTCTCATTCACTTCAGGGAGGAATATTTGTTATCCAGTGAACTTCCTTTCTGTAGTAACAATTTACCACTAGTCTTATCTACTTCCATGGCAGACTTTGAATAAAAGCAAATCCTTTAAGCAGTCAATATGCTTTTATTTTAGCCTACACGTGCAGAGATTAATGGTGACACCTTTTCTCATACCACTGTCTTCTCTGGGTATTGATTTAATTTATTTTATTTTATTTCAGTTTTGATCCAGCATGAGCTAAGACAACTTTAATAAGGCCAGAGGCTTTTCAAGGCATCCAGAAGGTGAGTGCTTTCATCTTGTGTAAATACATCCCCTCCACAAAAACAAAGTCTGTGCTGCTTAAAAAAGCTATAAGAAAACAGTAAAAGGACCATATGTGTATATATATATAAAAAGGACTATTTAAGCTCCTTTTATCAGCACTGCAGGCTTATGATACATGAACAAAGGCAGGTGTTCCAAAAGCAATGGTCGGTTTTAGAGCTTTGTAAAGGTCTTTCAATAAAAGGTTTTAACTGAGGAGGGAAGGAGTAATGAAAATAAACCTACTAAAGAGTCATAGTTGACTTGAATATGATAAAAAAAACATGCAAGTGCAAAACCTTTTTCTTTGTTGTTGCTGTTTCAGTGGCATTCTAAGCTTTTAGACAACTGTGTAATGTGTGCATTTTTTTTCATACAAAATGAACAGTTTTAAAAATTAAACTGGTCCAAATTGTGGCCTCATTTATATCAGTACAAATTTCAGTGCTTCTCTACATTCTGTAGGATATGGTGTAGAGACAGTAATGAGAAAAACCTCAGATGGATATTTTTTAGCCATTGGAGTCTTGCCTGCAACCAGGTAATTAGGAGAAGATATAGGGAACTCAAGAGGATCTGTTCCTGTTACTAAAGTAATTTTGTAATTAGGACAAAAGTAAATCATGTAGTAACATTTTAGGCCATGGAGAACATATGCCTGCATTTTAGAGAATACCAAGCACAGTATGAAACCCAAATCTTCATTTTTAAAACTTATTACAAACAAATTAGCAATAACAATAGGCCTGACCAGTGATCTCTAGCTGGGAGTTATGTTTGCACCAGCAGAAAAATTGAATCCAAGGTGACTCTGAGCTCAGCTGCACAGGAAACTTTCTCAGATAACAGGTACATACAAAGCATGAAATGTTTGTGGCAATAAACAAGAGAAATCTGAGATAAAGCTTGGAGAATATTGGGAAAATATAACAGGTGAGTCATGTAGCAATAAAGCAAAGATGTGTATGTTTGAGTCCTTGTCATTCTCCTGCTGCAGCTCCAGAATTAGCCTGTGTATTTCTTGGTCACACAAGGCAAAACTAATAGGAAAGAAAGGGGTTAAAAATATTCTTGCTGGCAGCACAAGCAATCTTCCAGGGCTCCACTTGTCCTCTAACCTTTCTTCTCTATCTACTTTTCCCATTTAAGAAATCCTGATCCACATTACAAGAAGAGATTCCTTCTAATTCTTAGAGAACTTTATTTTGACTATTTTCTTGCCATAGCTGAGCCCTGCCTCTAAGAGTAGCAGCCTTCCTAGAGTGTTTCCCAGTAGGTGATGACTGATGACTGTGCTCTGGATTTTATCTCGATTGTTTCATGCTGCAGGTTTTTGCACATTAGGATTACAGGCCTAACTCTGGAAAAGCTCTTCCAGCCCTACAGGCCATTGGTGCCCTTTTTAGTTGGTTCTTACTTCTGCTGACTCAAAAATACAATTAATTTTGCTTCCTAGGAAGATATATTTTTGATTTGCTTCTGCTGTCACCTGAAGAAAAATTACATTAAGCCAAAGAATGGTAACAGAAAGAGGGGAACTCAACTTTTATCTCATTTTCAATAAGAGAACATACACACTTCAGGAGACAGACTAAGTGGTGTTAACCTTACTTCGCTCTCCTGGTCTTGTAGAGCTTTGATTCAGGCTTATAAAATTATCCTGCAGGGACAGAACTGTATTTACAGACTTCCATTTTTAATAAACTAAAATTTCACATCCTCTTCTATCATTCATGCCAGCAGCAGCCTGCGTGATTTCCAGCAGTCCAGTGAATGTAACACGTGTCTCAGCATAAGCTGAAAATTCACCCAAGAAGCAAATTACTGATCTCCATAATCCTGCAGCAAGACTGCTACTGGAACTTGGGGGAGTTTGTTTAAAGTCAGCTTGGCTGGAGCTCCTCTATTCTGCAGCGACTGCGATATCTGAAGTGTTCACTGAGGGAGAAAATAACTTCCCTGGCTGGCAGGAACATGCCTGCTCACGTTTTACACAACAAAACGCAACAGGATGTTTTCTAAGGCTGTTGGAAATAGTAGCAAACAGGGCAAAGTGAACAACAAACTAAACAATTGCCAGAATAAAACATTTCCCTAGCCAATTACTGGGAAGTTCAGTCTTAGTTGAAGCCTGGGAGAGAGGTCTCAGTTAATTCAGTTAAAAGTTCCATGTGAGAAAATCCTACAGATTTTAGTAGAAAACAAACTGAATTTGAATTTAATGCAAATTACTATGCACAGCTGAATGGAAAAAAATACAGCAGTAACAGAAAATTGTGCGATTCCTATAGATGTTCTGTGGCAGCTGTGGTGTCTCTGTGCATCAGAGACCTTCCATTCTCCAGATATTCCAAGCCTGTCAGAGAGCTGTGCTGAGCCTGTGTCAGCCCTGCATAACTCCACAGGTTGGATTAAGCCAAGGAATGGAATAAGGACTGCTACTCCCTGTTGGTTCTGTTGAAATGGCTGTTTGTTGACAAGTGCCTACAAAACCAGGTGCAGACATCCAAGGTGATAGTTATTTGCCACAGCCTCTGCAATCCTTTCTCTGGGCCCCTGAATCCAAGCCCAAACGAAACCAGAAGACCTGTGCCACTGCATTTCCTGGCTTTCCAGGAGCCCTAGAAGGCAAATCAGCACCATTTGGAGCTTTCTTTCGTTGTTACTAGTTCCTGGGTCCTTTTCATGGGCTCTTTTGTGAATCAAACTGTTTGCTTTTCATCTGTGGAATTTCTTACTAGATGTTATTTTTAAATGAGGCTTTGGTTTCTCACATGCCTCATGGAAATATAGGCAAACGTGAAAAGCATCTACTGGAAAAATCTCCATACTTCAGCAGGCCCAGAGGATTTAATAATCAGCATGAGATTTTCTTCCTCTCAATTACTGACTCTTTTGTTTTTAAGAAAACAGTCCTAATACTAAACAAACAAACAGAAAGCCCCAGTTGCTTCTCTTTCTCAGTGCTTATTTTTGGATGACCTCCAGAATCATCTTTTGACTGTGGTTGCTGACATCCTGGGCTAAGGCAGCATTCAGTAGCCTCAATATTAATAGAGGGGCTTTGGGGATTTTTTAAATTTTATCTATTTATTTTTTAACAGGGAGGAGTCAGCATTCTGGCTGTATTGTTCTGGGGATTTTTAAACAGACAAAGCAGCAGAATGGAAATGGAAAATTGAGGACTGATTCATTGCCTCCAACGATCTCTCCAGAAACATGCCAGTCATTTGTTGTGGTGAGAAGGAGAAAAACTTTCTGGTACAGACTGTAAAAATCAGAAAAAATTAAAGTTGCAATCCTTTCCTATAAGAACTCTTAGAGTTTAGCACCTTCAAATTATTGCATATGAGTATAACACTCTCCTCAAACTTCAGGTTGGCTGAACTTTTCCAAATAAACAAATTCCTGCTTCATTTCCCCTTGCTGATGCACTTAGGAGTAGAAAGTTGGCCCAGGACACGGCCCATTGCAGGTTTATTCAGCCCCTAAGTCATGGTGCACTGGACACACAGACTGCAGCTCTTATTTCTTCCTCCACCCACCAGTAGGACCTGGGGAGAAGTGGGCACTTCCACGCTCCCTGGCCAGCAGCAAGACTTTGTAACTCAGTTCTGTTCCCATCTACATGGGGCACAGCATTTTTTGCCTCTCAGCTGTTCCCACCACATCTGCTTTGCTCATCTGCTGGCCCAAGGCCAGCGGTGGCTGCAGGGGGAGACTTTTAAGCAAGAGTAGGAAAGGATCAAATGCTGTCCTTGGAAGAACTGAAAAAAAAAAAAAAAATTAGGCCAAAATTAGTAGTACGTGAAGAAAGGAAAAGCTGGCTGATCATCTGGGTCAGGTGCAGTAAGATTCAATAGACAAGTTAAATCAGGAGCTTAATCAATTTATTTAATGAAAGAAAGGTTCAGTGCAGTAAGAGCCAAGGTGAAAAACTCTGTAAGAGGAGTGAAAGATGGAAGAGCAAGAAGAAGAAGGTATGACGCCTTCAAACCAAGCCTGGCAGCCTTTCTTTTGGGGACTTTGAGCTCTCTGGAAGCAAACCACAAATGCTCTGAAAAATAAATGAATTTCAGGAGAGAAAATCTCCACCTCAAAGCTCGGACACACTCTATAGGGAGCCTTATCCTTTGTGAGTGTTCCTGGAACTGGTGCTGTGGCTGAAGGCTCCTACAGTCAGGATCAAAGGAAACCCAAATGTACTTCACTGACAGTAACTCTTAACTGCAGTCTCAGTGCTCTGGGATAGACCAGTAAGTGTGCAGAGAACTTAAATGCTCACAGATACTTGGTGCAGGAAGCAGGACTGGCACTTCTAGAGTTAAATCCATATATTCTACTGCTGCATCTGGGATTAAACACTGACAGTTCCCTTTGGCTTACATTACTGAACTGGATAAGATAAAATTAAAGTCCAAACAAACAAAAGCAGTCTTTTTTAAAAAGGAGATAGTTTTATAGTGGAAGATAATGACTGGCAGCTAATAGAAGTTTAAAGTGTCAGCGTGGTTGGAAACAGTATTACCTGAAGTGATCCTAAGACTGCAACTTACCTCTTCCCTGTGATTCTTTATTGGCATACAGAGGATGCTCTGAGTCTTATACCCTGTGATCTGGTCAACTTCTGCATTGAATCTTGGATCCTGAAAAAAATACAATTATTAGACTGCTTGCTGAAGGATCACTAATTTTTCTTACTTGGTTTAAAGGTTAAGAAAAGCAGAATATTTGATTTAACTGTTACCCAGGATAACAAAGGTTCCATTACTAGATAATAATTATATGAAGTTGTTATTCTCAATGTGTTAAAACAAAAACCACGAATAACAACAACAACAAACCCCCCACCCAAATCCTAGGAGAAGTCTTTTCTTGCACCTAGACCATCATTATCATGAACATGTACACAGACCAACCATCCCTGGTGGAGCTTTTATCATCAAGAAGAGGTTACAGAAACACACTGAAAGACACATGGCCACAGAGGAACGAAGTTTCATGACTGCGGTCAGTGGTTTTGCTTTTATCAGAGATTGCTTGTTTCGTATTTTTCACCTCAATATTGTTACAAAACTCTGGTTCTTTCAGCCACAGCGCCGTGTGTCTGGGCACACATGTATCTACAGCACAGGTATTATAACCAAAACCACGGGGTGGGCTTTGCACCTTCGCCAGTTTAAGTGAACACAGGTCCTAATACAGGTACTGAAGTGGCAATATTTCAACAGCTGATCATAAGGCACCTTCTTTTGTCGGAGAATTGCTCAGGAGAAGTATCCTCGACTCACCTCATAGGCGTTCTTGATGTTCAGGGGTTGGCCTATGGCTGCCACGTGCCCCACAATGCCCTTGTTCCACTCCAGGCGGATGCAGTTGTTGGAAGCTTCTTCCAGGGTGGAGCCTTCTGCCACATCAAACAGCCTGCTGACGAGGAACTTCTCATTGGAGCTGTCCTCACAGACCAGGAACAGGGAATAGCGGTCCGCTGCTATCAGCTCGTGGATATGCAGGAAGATCTTATGGCACAGCGCCGTGACATCCAAGTGACTGGAAATGTCTTTTACAAGTTCTAATAGTCTTGAGCACTGATCCCCTGCACTGGTCTCAATCCTTGGAGATGGCAGAGGCATCTGTTCCTTCTTTTCAGAGCCTGAGAGGAAGCTCACTGCTCCTACCGAGTCCGTGACAAAAATAGGCCTTAGGGGTCTGTCAAATTCCGAAGCAGAGATTTTCCTCGCCGGTGTCCCAGGGCTGGTGGTCTCGGCACAGGCAGGCTGGTGACAAGCACAGGATTCGCTCTGGGACTTGGTTCCCTCCTTGCAGACTGGGATGGTGTGAACTCTCTCAGCAAACCATGCATTAACCATTTCTCTGTCAAACAAAAATCCAAATACAGTGAGCGATGTGAACGGAAAACCCTCGGGCACTAACACATATTGGAAGCCGATGCTGCAAAGAGGAGAACTGGAAACCTTTTCACCCAGAGGACACCGATGCACCTTTAGGCTCCTCTGGATCAATGCTTTCCAATTTTATGAAGCACTCAGCCCAGATCAAGCAGTAACATTTTATGCCCCATAAAAAAGAAGCTATTTCTGCCTAAAGGAAATACCTGGGTAGGGCAGAGGGAGACCACCACTGTGCCTTTCAGAGTACAGATCAGAAGTTTACACCATCATTTTGTGCTTGAAAAGTTCCGGTCCTTCCCATTCCTGAGATCTGGATTTCTGTATAAGGTGTATATACAATTTGTATGAAGACAAAACCTTCTGCTTTAATTCTGTTTTTCAGACCATTTCTGACCTCTAAAAAGATAATTCCGAACTTTAATTCCCTCTGTCAAATCACCTGCCACCCCTCCTATTTTTATGTCGCCGATCTTCTATTTTTAAGTTAACTTCCTCTGCTCTCTGAGTTAATTAAAAATGCTGGTTTGACTCAAAGCATAGAAGTTTTGCTTAAAAACTGTCATAAAGAAACATGAATGTTTCTATTTCAGCCCCTTCAAAATAATGAAAGGACAGACTGTTTTCAAACATCTTTCCTATTTCCTTTCCTTGCAGATGAAACTCAGTGTCTAACTCAACCCAAAATACTGAATAACCCTAAAATTGTATTTTTTAAGAGTTCATCACCAATTAAAAAAATGTCATGCATCTCTAGTATTTAACTGTATTTCTCAAATTAATTAGCACTAGGAAGCCAACCCTAATAATGTCCTCACTAAATACAGCATGTCTTCAATTAGGCACAGGCAAACATATCATCAAGAACAGGAGGATACTTTTTCTTATCACCATAATATTTTCTTGTCCAAAATTGGGTTTGTTTGGTTGGGGGGTTGTTTGTTTGTTTGTTTTGGCTGGTTTTTTTTTAAAATGCAGGGCTTTTTATTTCGTTTGCTCAGTGCCGAGGATCCCTCACAGCCCATGCCCTACTCTTAGAAGTAACGATCTTTTTGCTGCATTACATAACATACAGGCCTGTGAGCAGCAAAAAAAAAAAATCCCTGTTAGAAGTCTGATCTTTTGGAAACCTTTCCTGGTGGTCATGTTTTAAATTTGGGATATTTTTTATTTGCTCAGCAGCCCACAGGAATTCTGAGAGTGGAGCTGAATGAAGCCATGGAGATGAGTCAGGTTAGTCACCCGCTGATCGGTTACATGCCCCAGTGTACTTCAAATATGCCCTTTTTTTCTTCTGTTGGGGAGGTTTGAAAGAGTTTTCCAGATTTTGCAATCACGTATCATTTGGAGACCTCAACTGCAGGCAAACTTGGTATAAAACACTGAATTATTAAAACTACCCATGACCTGTATTATAGCAGTGATACCTATTTTTTGTGGAGTTACCTCATCCAAATGCTTCTTGTAGTGAAGCAGCATAAAGAACAATTAATTTATTATTAGAACTTTAACAGTATTACTTTACAGTACTTAAAAAGGATAAATGGGAGTCGTGACCATGCATTACTGAAACACATAATATGATTTGCATAGGACAATGTTACATTTGCAAAAGCTGTTTCAGTGAGAGTCAAAATAACAAGCTGGCATTTGGTAACATTTGGAATTTTCATTTATTGGACTGAATAAGAAAGAATAAAAATTTGGGATGAAAATGACCAAAAATATCCCTAAGGAAAATAAAAAGCTTAAGATGCAAAAAATTTGTAAGTAAATGGAGTACAACCTCTACAATCAGTGCTGGTAACTCCTGTCACCCTGTGTGTTATATGTGGGTTCTTCTTGTTTTACTCTGAATCTCCTCAAAAAAATAAATTACCTGGAAAATTTTAGCTTTTTCTAAACAAAATTATCATCTAGCACTAAGGCTGCAGAAAAGAACCTGAAAATGCCAGGTGAGTGGATTTAAACCTGAGACACAAGAAGGTAGGTGCAGAATAATCAGTAGTTTTAAAGAAGTGCCTTGACCTAGATTCACAATTGTACAATTGTTGGGTGAGAGCAATTTGCAGAGCAATCTGATTCACTGCTTATTTCCTCATGAGTAAAGGAGAATATAAAATGCTGTCATTTCACCTACTTCTGGTTTACATTGAATTTACATACGTGGACAAGTTGATACAAGATGCAAGGGCAGAGAAAGAATCTGGCAAAAGCTACAGCAAAAGTTTGATTTATCAGTTGAAACCTGTCATTTTATTTATTCTGGAGTGTTGTATAATGATGTCCCCTGGCCTGTAGCAGTAGCAATCAGTACTCTGAATTCTAATACCTGTTCTCAAACTGTGGCCATGAAATTATTCAGTTTTTACCATTTTGCCTTTTTACTGTGTAAAATAAGCTTTCATTTCTCTGTCTCGTGGAGGTTACCGAGGGATGTGGAACATAACTGTAAAACCTTTCACATGAAAGGAATTACATTTAGCAGGAACTGACTACTTGTTGGGTATCTGCACTGTTTATGAAGCGCTGCAGCATTGAACAGAACTATATGTGGAGCTGCATAAATATGAGTAACTTATTCCTGTCCTTTCATGTCTCTTAGATGATGGTTCAGTAACTTGCCAACAAGGTGCGTGATTCCCAGAAAGCTCCTTAAGTTAACAACGACAGCAACAAATCCTTAACTAAACTGTTTAAAGCATGCTTTGCAACTTCAAACCATTTAAGCATTTTTATTTGGGCAACAGGAAAGCCATTCAAATTCCCTGGAAAAAGAACAGTGTTCGCTGACCTTTACTGAATGCCTCTTCTAACAAGGAAACTATTTAGCTCCTTTTACTCACCCAGTTACACACAGGGGTGGAAGAACTGGCATTTCTCATTAGCTGACGTATTCTAACTCTATTTAAAATCTATCAGGCAAAGTCCTGACATGCATTTGCTTGTTGACACTCAATCCTATTTAACAATGCCTGACAAGAGGAGTATTATGACTAACAGGAGTACTCTCACAGCACAGAACCAGCTCAACAGATAGCTGATACCAGACACTTACTGAACCACAAGTGAGGTAACTGGAAATTAGTAACAAGTGCTATGTAGGATTAAGATGTCGTTTTTAAAGGGCTACAGGAAGAAATAAACACTTGTGACTACTCTATTCATATGAATAGTTTGCATTAGGCATTGGCATTGTCAAGAGACGACTGTAAGTACAAGAGCCTTGCTGTAGTTTAGAAGGTGCAGGAGCAGATTCTGATCCATGCAGACAGTTAAAATCAATGCAATGTCTCTATCCCAGCACAGCAATCACTGCCTGTTGAGGAGTTACAGCATCCATTCCTCATGACCTGGATGCATCCTTTACTGCAGTATGAGCCTTCACTCAGGAGAGCTGTGATTTATCCCAGAGTTCATAAATAGCAATTTTTTAGTGACTTCTATCAGCCAAACCCAGTCTTTCCTCTGTAAAGCACAGGACAGTAGTGACTGCTGAATTTGGCTGGTGACTCCATCAGCAGGTGACAAAACTGGAGAGGAATTTTGGAGAGATGGGGATGGGAAGGGGATGAAAATACAGTGGGAGGCAAAACATTTGAAGGAAAAAAAAAAAAGACTGTGTGATCCTCCCCTCTCTCATTGCTTATATACAAATACACATTATCTGCAGTACATGGGGACTTGGGAACTTCAGAGGAATTCTTTGGCCCTGATTTGTTAAATGCTGTATAGAAAGTCCTATAAAGCAAGAAGTTTTCAATATGAATAGGCAACAAAAATAGATCACTTGGTAAGAAAACACAGGCACAAGGATGTGACATGGCTTGAGCCAGGTCATGCAGGAGGGCACAAGGAGAGCTGAAGACACCCTCAGGTCTAAGACCTGAGAAGAACCTTGCTGTATTTCCTGGGCCTGTGTGTTAAACCATGCTGACACAACACCAATCACTATTCTATTCATACACTGGGAATATTAAATAATTTACTGTACCCATCTTCATTGTGATTATCTTCAAAATACACAGCAGACTTCTCATAAAAAAACCCAACCCAGTGAAGATGTTTAAATATTAACAGCCAGATTATGATTGTCTTGCTCACATATATAACCACACTGCATATGTAAGACAGTACCAACATGACCATTCAGCAACTGTTTGGTATCTTTGGACAAAATGGGCAAAAACCAGAATGCAAAACTAATACCAAGGTGCAACAGTGACAGTAAACTGCATCTTGCTTGTCTTGCACAAAGAATGCTTAATAATCACAGTACCATAACAGAACCGAGTGATAAGTAGCTTTCAGTGAAACAACTAATAATTCCCCATTTTCTCTGTTGCTCATAAATCTTTCATATATACCATGTTTAATGTTTCAGTAGTTGTGTGGCCTGTTTTGCTAATTTTTCACTCAAACCAGCAGTTGCTGATAACACACTTCAGGAGAAGGATTCCAAACTTGCCTACTAGAAAATGCCAGCTTTCAGGTATCTGAATTCCTGGGGCCTAATCGTGCCAGTGTTGAAACCATCTGTATTTCAAGCTAAGCTTCATAACTATTTTCTCAATTGCCTTCCTTAATATAACCACTAGATGTCTTCAAATTTCTCTCCCGCATCCTGGCATAATTTAAACATGGAGATCATTTAAAGCATTAGCAATAACTCAAAGCCTATTCAGTTTTAACAAATGAATTTGGAATTCAAAGCTACTAGGACATCACACTTGCCTTCCCACTTGCTATTTCACCCTCATGCTCTAAGTGGGTTTTTGCCTTTTCTGGCCGTAGAAAAGAGGCCTCGTTAGATGGAAAGAGCAAACTGACTGTAAAAGAAGTGTTTGCAAACTGACTGAAAGAGTAGCTTGACAAAAACAACAGTTGTTTTTCCTTAAACCCTTTCCTATTATAGTTAGTGGAGATGCCATTTCTCACAGTGGTAGGCAAGCAGTTTTTCAGGAT